TAAGTATGGCGAATCAAGTATGAAAGTTAATAACTCACTTCTTCAATTCTAACATTCATTCTACCTTCTAAAAATTGATGAATATTTCTTATTCTTTTAATAAAATAAACTTTGTGTCCAATTGATTTATAAGCACATACAAGTGTAGATAAAAAAGCAGACTATGTGGAAATAAGAAAGAAACAATCGAATAAAATATTTTTATATAAAAAGTTTATAAATGGATATTATAAATACGATAAGCCCGGAAGGAACAAGTAAAAATATTGTAATTATACAATCTCTGCAGCTTCATCTTTAGAAATCTTGAGATTCTAAATGTTCTGATGTTCAATTAATTAAATTTAATGGTACTGTCAGATTAAAACTTAATAATTTACGTAAAAACTGCCGAATTCCTAGGAACTTTACTATATTGAAGTTGCAAACTTGATGATGATCTATATAAACAGATTAACTTTGTCTAACTTAACCTAGCCCAATGTATAATTAGTTAGGTGTCTGTATTGCATTTTTAAAAAAAATTATGTATTCTAGTAATTTGCTAAAGAGATGGTACACGCGATATTTCAGCTAGTTATTAATTTCGTTTATACAGAATAAAACTATGAACAATTCTACAAGACGTAATTTAAAACCTATTTGTACTTAAAGCCATAAATATTATTTGCTTTTAAACTCATTCCATAAAGTAAGACTATGAGGTTATAATGGTTTAAAGTAATATTAACAAGCTCATGAAGTAAGATACGAGAAACTATAGTTATAAAATTAGAGTTTTTTGTAGATTCAAAAATAGTTGTTGAGGTATGAAATATTTTTATAATTGACTATTTATGTTATTTTAGATTTCTTCTAAAAAGTATTCTTCAACAGTTTGACGAAGTCTAAGTAAAAAGTGCAAATATCTTTGATTGATATTCTACATTTACTTCATATAGCTAATTTCCTTTAATGAAATGGAAAGGAAGATGGTAAAGGTATTTTGCTATTAATAAAGGAAGGCCCACTAAAATTTACAATATTTGTATCATATATTACATATTTTGTCAATCATTTAACCAAAGATCTTGATAATAATTTTTGTTGATAAGTTTTATAATTACTTATATAATTATATATGTTATTACAAAAACCTATTATTAAATATTCATATTTAAACTCATAATTTTGAGAAAACTACAGATGCAAGAAATTGTTTTTGAAATGCTTTATTTCATTTATAAAGACTTAAATATGATTACGATAAAATGAAACCATTAATTTATTAATTGAACATACATAATGAAAATATTGATAATTGTATTTGTATTTATTTGAATTTTGGATAATTTTGTGGATAAATTGATAGTGATTTAGGAAAATGTGAAATATGTTGGGTATATATTACTTTAAGAAATATTATAGCAATATATTTGCTGTGCTATTGCAGATTTTTATTTCAATTCAATATATTACTTTTTGTAGTAGACAATTAAGATAATATTGTGCAGATTCTACCTAATATAACATAATTGCAGTTGTAAACTAGAAGACTTGTGCGTAGCTTGATAGGTTGTTGAAAGTACAAAAGGAAATTAAGTATCTTTTCTTACAAAACTCCTTTATAAATATATCTGATTACAGTGTTGGTAAACAGCAATTGATAAATATAATTTTCTGTATCTATTATTCAGTTCAGTATACAGTGAAGTATGTTTGAGGGAATTTTTACTGTTTCAATCTATTAAGGATAAAAGATAAAATAAAAAATTGTTAAGAGAACTAGAGATGACAATGAAAGTTGTAACAATGTATTCTTTAGGACACGTGCCTTTTGATGGCTTTAAAACAATAGTTCCATAGTTGTATGATGTTATTTATAAAAGTGTGGCATGATTTGTTTTTTGTTTCTCCTTGTTCTTCTTATGATGGTTGTTTGTTTCTTATATTCCTATAATATGTTCTAGTCATCCCAACTGTAAAAAGACAAGACATATTGATAAGAATAATTTTTTTAATTTGAACAATAAAATCAAATATAGAAAATATTCTTAGTTAAAAATAAAACTTTTTAAAAGCTATTCTAGTTAATTTATTTATAGCTACTGCATTTGTTGTGCACAAGTATAAAGAACTAAAAGATTGAACTGACATTCTTATAAGAAAGTGATCCAATTAATAAGTCATTTAATTAATGAGTTATAATGAGGCACATGATATTTATTGTGAAAGTGACCAGACCCAAATTATTGTTTATATGTTCTATGTAAAACAAAGTGTTTAAATTGTGAACGATGAGAGGTATTTTCTACAGCCTTATTTTTTTTAAGACTTTTATAAGTTGAAAGTCATAAAGTAATTTTTCTAGTACTTTTGTATTAATGGTTTGTTTACTTGTTAAAAACTTTTGAGTTTCTCAAAGGCTTATGTTTAAGTAAGCCATTTAATTTTTCCTTGTAATTGTAGGATGTCACAACTGGAGTATATAGCTTAATGGTCTTCATTATAGTATGCATAAATATATTTGTTCTAAATTAGTTAATTTTCTTGGTTGTGTCCTATATTTTTGACATTTTCTACCTGTTTATGCTATTTTTCTGTTACTTTTTGTACATTTTCTTGCTTCTGTAATATTTAGCGATATGACCAACTTTAACAGAGTTCAGGCAAGCTTTCTTAAATTCTACATTCAATTAAAATGGTGTGTGTATTAGATGGAATAGTTTCATATAATTTAGTAAAATGATCCCCTCAAATGTGATTGCAACTGTTTTACTAGGAACCCATTCCTATTTGCTTTATTTTCAGTTTTTCTATTTAATCTTCTCATCTCCTTCATTCAGCAAGTAGAATCTGAGGTAGAATATATATGTTGTAATCAAATCTGAGTCCCCTAATAAAGAAAAAGTGTTCCAAATCATAAAATAAAAATGCTTAGCTTATTTGTTTCTTTTCTATTCATTTATACAAAGATGTTGTTTTGTTCAATTATTTGAAATTTGATCTGTTTTCTAAACATTTGAAATTTTATACCGTTTATTCCTTTCAATGTATTCATTATTTTTGTTAAGTATCTTTTTATGATAGGTTATTTTTTATTTTTAATGGAATAGAAGCCTGTTCCTTATAAGTTTTTTGATATATGATGATTCGTGTAGTTCCTAAAGTATAATATTTTTATTAATATTACAAAATTTATATTTCCAAATTTGATTTAGGAATCTATGAAGTTCATCTTTTTTTTTCTTTTTTATTTATTTTTTCTTTGTTTGACTGTATGTACTATTACAACATCAAACATGTTTTGAATTTGTGAACATAAAAATGGAATAACAGTTTTCATGTCATTCACTGTGTTTTTTTTTAACAGAATATATTAACTCAAGCGAATCATCAAAAGAACTGCAGGAAGCAATGAAGATTACATACTCTTCAACAGAAACTATAACCACATGACAAAACAGTGATATTAATCAAAAGAAATATAATAAAGAAAAAATGATATGATTATATATCGTTAATTTATTATTTATTGTAATTTATTATTGTTTTGTTATTAATTTATTATTAATTATAATTTATTAATTATAGATGTTTTCCAATGTACAAGAGCTAAAAAGTTGAAATTTATATATTCAAAATTTAATTTAAACATTTTTGTATTTCATGAATAATTTATAATAATACGAAAGATTTGTTTATAATTAATAAACTGCAAGTGTTATGAACTAAATAATTAGAATAGGATATTTTAGAAAGTCTATGCCATAATTTGCGCCTTTATGTTAAGAAAATAGTACGTAGACAATAGTATAGATGATATAACGTTAATCCTATCATTACTTAGGGTGTATGTAAGTGAGAAGATATAACATCATCGAGTTTGCATATATGTAATATGTGTATAGCATAGGTATATATATAACGCAAACGTTTCTATCCACGCTGACTACAGTATTTTCTGACACCAGGTGTTATAAAAATTGTTGTACAGTTGTTTCAGTGAATTTTCGATTCTTGCATTGCACGCAAAAATGTTTGATTCGTGTGTCACTTACAATCTTATTATATTCAAATACATTACTATTTCTAAATTTTATTATCTAACTTATAATTAGTACTATAGCTATTACTGTAATATTCTTTATATCATCCATTAGTGATTTCTAGCTATTTTAGTATTACTGTAGAATTTTATATTTTTTGTAAGTAAATTGTATTCGAAAATTAATAATTTTTTGATATATATTTTACTTTTGTAGAAATATATTAATATATTTACCCTTATTTCTTTAATGTAATATGTAAGCATTTATCAGTTATTACAAAATAGTTTAGTTCATAAGACCGCGATACTTTCTTGTTGTCGTGATGTTTCATGATTGACCTAATGTTGGACATCATATGGATTAAAAGACTGTTTTCTGTGTCATGTTAATTTCATAGTTGTTTATTTGACCAATTCAATGCCATCAGGTATTGATTGTGACATTATTTATGAGATTATCAAATGTAAAGTAGAAATTCCTTCCTTGGTTTATTCCCTTGTCAATTTATAATAATTTTTAATCAAAATTATACTTCCGATAGATGGCACTTATCTCAAGCAGTGACTATTGTAACATTATTCAACAGTGAAAATCCTTATATACTTTTTTCTGTTTTAACTGTATTTTGCACTTATATTGGATGTCTTAATAATGACTATGAATTATAAAAAACAATTTTGACAAAAATGAAAATAATAAAGTGAGTATTAATTTAGAGCAAACGAAAGAGCAAAATTATTGGGTTTTAATTATTGTTTATATCGGTTAACATGTCATTGGTACAAAGATGGCATAAATTACGACCATGTAGTTTTCATGCGGACTCGCTATAGTTTTATTCGTATAGACATCTCGCGGTAAAGATCTAAGCTTTAAGTATTAAATTGATGTGATTGTTATCATGTGTAAATAATCCTTAATGATGAAAAATGAAGCGCCAAAGAAAAAAATAGTTTGAAATTGTTTGTGAAAATGAAAGATAAACTGATTTAGTTGTACTATTATTTAAATCATTCCTAAATTAGTTTATTAGTAAGTAACTTTCTTTCATTTTTAATATATTATGTATTGTTGAAAAGAAAACAAAGGAATGAATGTCAGTGACACCTTGTGTGGCAATGTTTCGATTAACAGTAGTGCAACTAGGCGTGAATCAGTTTCGTCAAAAATGACCAAGAAAAATGAGCTGTTGTTTATATTTGGATTGTTTTTAATATCATTCTGCGAGCAAACATCTTCAGAATGTAGACAACTAACAGCTTGTTCGTGCACGTTCCCAAACGGACAAGGGTACACTTTATTGCCGTTAGCCAGTTCAAGGTCGGTAGTCGGAATATTCTAACCTCTCTACATTTTGCGCGTTATTTTACAATCAAAAACAAATATTTCTTTTCAGTCCTTTATTAACAGCTGATCCTAATCACAATTACACGTTCTATTTTCATCCTTGTACAAATACGGTGAATTTTCCATCTTTACCAAACAACGTATCGAATAATTGTCACAAAGGAAATGGTGTTTCGGTAAGAAATATTCGATTATTTAATTAATAATGTATTATTTTCTTTTATAAATTTTATTGTTGATGTCATCTAATACAATGCTTACATTTCAGCTATGTGCCGAACATGACGGCACTAGTTTTGTCCTAGGTAAAGCAGAGGATACAAAAATAATTCTAGAGGCGGATAATTCGAAACCACCCATTTTCATACTTGATCATGATAATTACTCAACGACCATAGCTTTAGCCTGTTGTAACGTTTGTAAAACAACTCTAACGCTCGATTCTATCGACGATAAAAGATACGTAAGTTTTCCAAAATTTTCTAGAAAAATAACAGTTTTTCTGTAAGTTAATCGCTTACGCTTTTTGCTTCAGCATCTGTTATTGTCGTCTCCTTATGCTTGTAAAACGTTTGTACAAAGTAAAGGCCTTTCCATTAGTTCAACCTTACTCATCTTGTTTTTTGTATTTACCGGACTATATTTTATCGGTGGAGCGATGATTTTGAAGTGTCTAAGAGGAGCGACAGGTTGGGAGATGGTACCTAATCATAGATTCTGGAAAAACTTTCTTTCATTGGTTAAAGTAAGTTTTTAAAATCAAAGTTTCAATTTTCCATCGTTTCGTTATTCGACTGTTCATGAATGATTTAATTTTATTTTCACAGGATGGAATTGTTTTTACTTTCAACTGTTGTCGTGTAGATAGCTACGAAAGAATATAAATCTCACATTTTTTACGATTGTATCGTTTATTTAATATGTAAATTTAATAGATTACGTTAAGAAAGTTTTAGTTTTATTAGCTACCGGAAAACGCATAATTGATTTTTCGCTGCATAATATTGTTGATGAATCTATTTTCTGAAAGTGTACTTTCTAAGTACAATTCCGTGTGTTATCTGATCATTACGTCAGAAATTCTGTGCGCAAAAGTCGGATATTTAGTTATATGTATATATAAAATACTGGCAATTTTGTGATACATGTAATATTTTATTAATGAGCAATAAAAAAATATAAATGCTTTTACATATACGTATACATACACACACACATGCGCGCACACGCACGTATACTTTCCTGTGTACTTTTAGTTTACAATACATGAGTAATTACGTATGTGAGATTTATGAAGACGTTTAATTACATGCGATCATAATACAAGTATATTCAATCAAGACACGATCCACTGATTTGAGTAATAAATAATAAGTATACGAACAGACAAATGACAGGTTACCGGCATATCAATGCCGATATATTTTACAAGTAACTTGTTTTACTCAATTTCCATGGAATTGAATCATGTCGGAATTCTGAAATACTGCATTTTTCTACGTGGGGAGTGGGAAGGAAGTATGCGATTCGAAGTTACGAATCTAATAAACAATTGTCGATTTGAACGACTTCAAAATGATTTAATACCATCGACACATACGGAAATTTCTTGATCAGTTTGAATAATCATCCAGTTTCCGTTGGCGTTTAAATTGCAAACATTGATACCTTTCGTAGAAAAAGTGTTCACAATTTGCGTCAGATCTTGTATGTCATTTGTTTGATACAAAGAGACGTAATTTCCTAGAGCAATTCCATTGGCAAACACTGCGTCATCGAGCGAAAGTAATAATGGTTCATTGTTACGGACGGTTCCTAAAAAAATTATATAAAAATTTTCATAATAAGCACGCTGAATACGTCGACGATTGTTCATTGACAAATTTTAATATCTATTTATCTTACCTTTAATCCGATGACCTTCAACCTGGACGACAATCGCTTCGTCGTTGGTTGACATTTCGTGGTTTCCTTTGACGTTGATACCTATCTCTCGGGCTAATGTAGGTGCATTGATTAAATTTAAACCGTTTTTCGTTTGTCGAGATAAAATTCCAAGTAGAACAGCTGTATGAACGAATGCTTTTTCTCGCATTCTCGCGTTGCCAATAGTTTGACTGTGCACGGTTACGTTCAACTTTCCCTTCAAAAATCGACCAACTAGTTGGCCAAGTTTTTTCGACAATTCAATCCATGATGCGTTCTCGTCTGACATGGCAGCGCTCAACATTGGGGCATTTACAATTCCGGTAACTGTATATTCCGTTGATTTGCCGGTTAATGCCAAAAATTGTTCGGCTATCTCTTCTGCAACCCGCTGCTGAGCTTCCTCGGTACTTGCTCCTGCAATTTAGTATCGACAAAATTAAAATTTCGAATGACGGATATTCGAATATCTTTATCTTACCTAGATGCGGAGTAGCGATAACCTTGGGATGCGCGATTAATTCCAGGCTAACGGAGTTCTTCGGCGGTTCTTCAATGAACACGTCTAAAGCAGCGCCAGCACAATGGTTCGACTTCAACGCATTCAGCAATGCTTCTTCGTCTACGATGCCACCGCGAGCTACGTTCACAATGCGAACTCCCTTCTTACATTTTGCCAACGTCGTAGCATTGATCAGATCTGCAATGAGTGATAAGTTGAGCATGAGATCTAGAGCAGTTTGAGAACACGCTCACCGCTATCTGCGTTTCTATAGATTTTTTAATCATGCCAATATGGTAGATCATATTATTTTAAAACGACTAAACGATATAAAGAATATGTTTAATGTATTATTAACGTGGCGGTAAACTTGTTGATATGCTAACTCATCTCTGATTTCAGTTATTCCGAAATATATCCTACAGGACAGTATTTTGAACAACTTTATCTTCTACCAGTCATGACCGGTCGACTTTAGTTTACAAGATGAGACCCACTGAGCATCGAATCGGCACCAATTCTATTTATGTGTACAGGGTGTTCCAGTAACGGTAGTACAATCGGAAAGTGGGTGATTCTACATGCAGAAATAAATTGAAAAAGAAGAATAACATTTTTTTATTTGAAGCTTCGTTTTCGACAAAATTGATTTTGAATATTCACCAAGTACACGTACACTTAGCTATGGACTAAGATGTATGGGCCATCAAAATATCAATATCGGTGGTATAATCTAGGAGGGGGAGATTCTACATGAAAAAACAAATCGAAAATAAAGAATAAAATTTTTTCATTTGAAGCTTCGTTATCGAGAAAATTGACTTTGAATATCCACCAAATGTGTTGATATACAAAGTGAAGTGCATGTGTAGTCAATGAATATTCAAAGTCGATTTTCTCAACAATGAAGCTTTGAATAAAGAAATTTTATTTTTTATTTTCGATCTGTTCTTTCATATAGAATTACCTCCTCTTCAATTGTACCACCGACCTTCATGTATTGATAGTCTATTCTTACAAGCCATAGCCGAGTGCATGCGCACTCGGTGAATATTTAAAGTTGATTTTCTCGAAAACGAAGCTTGGAATCAAAAAATTTTATTTTTTTTTTTTATTCGTTTCTGCATGTAAAATCACCTCCTTTCCGGTTGTAGTACCGTTGCTGGGACACACTGTATATCTTACGGATGCACAAGCATACAGGCAGAATACAGTTAGTGGTGACGAATGTTTTCCGCAAATATCTAGAAAATTATGATTGATGATAAAGGAAAAAGTTGCTCAAAAGACTGTCTTTTATAACATATTTCAAAATCATGTAAATAAAAAATAAGCCAGCTCATTGACAAGTTTACCTTATGTAACTGCTGCCCACTGTTAGCATGTCGCTTATTGGTAGTCAACGAGGTTTAAACGACGATGATTACCATTGACCAATATAGTCGGTGATCGTGTTAACACAAGTATTAGATACGAATGCAATTGCAGAGGCAGTACTTCTCGTTTGAGGAATGAGCGGTGTGTGCACGGTGATGTAATCAGCTATTGGCCATATTTCGTCCAAACAGAGTTTCTCAACGCCGAGGTGGTTTGCAGCTTCGAGTGTAAGTAGGGGATCATAGGCGACCACTCGCATTCCAAATGCTTGCATTCTTCGAGTTACTTCGCGACCAATGCGGCCCATTCCGAGTACCGCGAGCGTTTTCCCGGACAGCTCGAAACCAGAGTACAATTTTCTGTCCCATCGTCCTTCTTTCAATGACTGTACAGCCTGTGCAACGTTGCGTGCCAGAGAGGAGATTAGTGCACATGTCAATTCGCAAGCACTGATGCTATTCCCGCCAGGAGCACTGGAAAATTATGATCGTTTAGCGTTTCTTTTTACTGCCCAACGTTTAACCCTTTACACTCCAGCGGCGACCTCTAGTTATCATTTAATAAAATTCTGAAGATCGATATCCATTGATACATTAAATATAAAATATATTAAAATAATTCTATGTATTCATTTACACACGATTCATTATTTACTATTTCCAAAAATATCATGGATTTTAGAGCAGAACATTTTTGAAATTAATTCTATGTATTAATTTATACACGATTCATTATTTACTATTTCCAAAAATATCGTCGACTTTATACCAGAAAATTTTTGAATTGCTATTTTTATCTACCGAAAAGAATCGACTAGTGCAAAGGGTTAATATAGTCGAAGAGAGATAAAAAGAGAAAGGTGGACGTACTTCAATACGATGACTCCCTTTCGCGTGGCAGATTCTAGATCGATATTATCGACACCAGTGCCAGCACGACCAACAAGGCGAAGGTTCGGACAACAGACGAACACGTCGCTAGTCACCTTCGTTTCCGACCGGACAATTAGCCCCTCGTGGTTCTGTTCCAGATACAGGTACGTACATTACGAGCAGTCCATTATCGCGTTCCGCGTTTTCTACATCGAAGACACTATCTCGATCGTATTTTGTGAGTAGCCACGGATATCGCGCATAGCTGCAAGTGTGCAGGCATATAGAGAAGGGAAGAACCGGCCGAGATAAGTACAACGACCCGTGCAGCTAACCGGTATTCGGGTTTCCAACTAAACTGGATCTAGCCGGTTGGACCGACGCGAATGCAAGCGGCAATTGGGAGACATCAAAGGAAGGGAAGAGAAACGAGAGAGCGAGAGTAAGAGGGAAAGTTACGGTTAGGCCTTATAGGCTATCGCGTATCGTTATTGCACGTGAATCGAACTGACGCGATGCGGTTCCTTGCTTCGAAGTAGCATCGATATATAAAGTGAACGTGACGTTATTTAGATTCGTACGAAACTTAAAAAGAGAAGGCAAAGAAAGGAAAAATTGATATCGTATTCGTGCGTACCTGAAGCTCTTTTATCAGTTCCTCTTTTGATAGTTTGTATTTGGTGGTGACAGGAATACCATGGCGGACAAGCATCTCGCCACAACGGGCGTCCACAGGATCGCTTATGAGAACGCTTTTGAGCGTGATCGACATGTTATCCTTGAATAAAGAGACTCCTTGAGTATGTTTATCTTAACTAGATTTCCGCTAATAACGCATAATTCGTCTTATTATTTTCTATCGCTGTTTCTAACAATTTTTTATCGAGTTATTACTATGCTCAATATACGGTTTCTCATTCGCGTTGTTTGCAAATCGAGGAATCGTAAATTTTTTTGCCCGAATATTTCATTACGTTTCAGGTAGGGTTAGGTAACAAAAAACGCGACGAAAGTGGCCCTCGCGATAGGCCTAACCAAATGAACTGATGAATAATAATTATTACTTATGTAAGTGGACGCGTAGAAAGGTGCAACTTAGAAAATCGCGGTGCATTCGCGGCACAAAGGACGAGTAACGGTAGAATTTGAACGCGTTAGCAGTGGTATTTAACCTTACTTTTATTCGTGTGTTCGCGATACACGATCAACGATGAGACATTGAACGACGTACACATACCTCGTAGAATTGCTCGTTAATGAAGTCGAATACACGGGACGATCCGTTGAAAACGAGTTCGGGCCTTTACACCAGTCTCTTCGGCGTTTCAACCGCAAACTGTCTGTTCGTCGGTGATTTATCTTCTTATAGCGTTGTCCCCACTCGCTCCATGAAACTCGCGCGTCTACGGCCGCTCGTTATTATTTACCGGATTATTGTTCCGGACGAATCGGCAAGTACCAATTCGAAAAAAAAATCGTATTCATTCGGTTGGTAAAATTTTCCGGTCCATCGTTATTATTTTCTGATTACGATTTTGATGATCGCGATTGCACTTAACCTCGGTAAAATTTTTGTTTACGAACGGACAATCGATTTATTTCACGATCGTAAGCAAATGGCGGACAAAACCCTATAAATATTCTTCGGGGATGAAAATTAAATATCAAAAAATATGAAAAAAATTTCTAAAAGATATAAAAAAAAATATCAATACATCTGGTTGGTCGTAAATCCATCCACGTCGAGTGGTAATATTTTGTTTCGGATATTGTTTATGGACAGAAAAATAGAGAAAAGGGCAAGAATATATTCGCGTTACACGCCACACAACAGTTGCAAACCGCGATATATATTTTCCATTCCGGGGGTCATCTAATGTTACGTGATGCAATTTCTGCTGGGGGTCTGATTTGGCAATAACAATTATTATTACGTCGTTATCGCGAACTCGGGATTCGTTCGACCCTCGTTTATTTCTTCTTGCTACACGTTCCCTGTTGCCCCCTTTTATAGATAAACCGACCACACTGCCAGCCCGGAACATCCACGCGGCGTCCTATTTACGTCGTCGAACTTTGAACGTATCTAAAGCATCGATCAACATTCTCCCGACGTTTTTGATTCTCCCAACTTCCTCTTTTTGTTCGCGTGTTTTCCACTCCCATTTTTTATCTTTTTCTCCGTGCGTCGCGTCTCTGTTCCGTAGTCAAAGGTATTATGTTTCCAATGGTGCGTCGTCGAATATCAAGGACGAATACCATGCGACGTTACCGCCATCTTCCTTATTCCTGGCGGGGTAGTATCGTCAATGCGAAAAATAACGCTGTCCCATTCCTCTCCAGATGAGACAAGATAATCTTGATCCGGGATATTTTCTTCTCGTTTGGCATCTATTTGATTGTGTATACATTGTATATACATTGTATATACGTGTGTTCTGTTATTAATCTGACTGATTTTTTATCGACCGCGTTATCGATTTCGTTTTTCATTGGCAATGCGAAGGGCTGTCGATCGATGGAAACAAAGATGGAAGCGTTTTATTGGGAAGAGATCGTTCATTGTGTCTGATAAATCTGTAAAACTGCAGAGAGAAATCTATAGACCGGAGTTAACCGGTTACTCGGCTGCGAACTCGGGACCCCGTCAGATAGCGAACGGAGGGAACAAAAAATGCCGATAACACTCACATGATTCGACAGAGACAGGGAAAGACGAGAGGGCGGAAGAATGATAATGATAGATCGGCGTAAACGAAGAGGTGGACACTGCGTAAAGGGGAAAGAAATCGTGTATCGAAAACTGAGCAGTCTGTAGTTGCTTTATTGCTGTATCCCACTATTAGGATAATTTCATTATCGAACTTTGAAACAGCTTCGCTTGCTCTTTTCCACGATCGTGAAGGAAAATTTAAGAACAAAAAGGAAGATACGTACATTCGGTTTAATATATCGCGTCGTTCCTGGTATTTCGTGAAATCAGGATCGAATAATTTTACGAAGAACGATATTTCACGAATAATACACCACCGACACGAGCATAACAGCTCGACGTTTCCGCAAAGATACGTCGCGATTAGTCCCGCAGTAGTCCGTCAGGTGTCACTTAGATCGTATCGCAATGGAAGCGTTTATTCGTGCAAATTGCATCATTCGGTCAACGGCGTTTATGTTTTTGTCAAATTTTTACGATGTATAGAGCCGTGCATGCTCTAATCGATACAAAATGGTCCAATCTTTGCAGTTAGAACGTTAATTTCAATAAGTAAATATCAGCGATTTGAGAGTTAAGTTAAGAAGGTAGCACTTGCGTTATAGGTACTTAATTAACGATAAGTACGTTGTTCATGGATATGTATAGAAGATAAACCAGATTATTCTAAAGTGCGTACATTAAGCGCGATAATCGAGATAACGTCGCACAATCGAACATTATATTCGCATTACAAGTTTCTAGAGTTTACTTAATTTTTTGTATCACGTCGAGCATCGTAACTATTGTTTCTCTCCCAATATTTGCGTTCCTTTTAATCTTAAGTTGCCAGTGAGAGTGGGATAATTACCGATCGAAGAATTTTCGATTACGATTTCGATGTACTAATCAGAAAATGATTTAATCGACGTGTCGATTTTCGGATATAATATGATGTTGAGTCGAAATGTTTGTTACCGATAACGTAACTAGGAAGTGTGGAGGAAAAATGTGATACAAGTTTCTCGTGTCTCGCGTGCCATATATCATGTTACCATTTCTACATTGACCTTAACATCAACACGATGTATTACTGAATGATATTCATGCGAGGTGTCAACAGAATATATATACGAAAAGATTTTCATTCCATCTGATAATCATCCTACATATTTCCATAAAGTAATTTCAATTGCAAATGTTTACAAAATATTATTGCGTTTGACATGAACAGTCTTAAGATTGACGTTCGAAGCGAAATATGGGAAATTAATTTCCTCTGTATCTGCCGAGAACAGCTGACGAAGATCACGAATGTTGTTTTGCAAAATATTTGTCCATTTTGCCCCGCTTTCGTTCCATTTCGATAATCGATCGATGATCATTTTAATTGTTATTTGACTGCAGTTCCATTGCGAACTTTATGTTCCACTCAACTAAATTTCATCTTCTTCCTCCTTCCTTTTACGTTCGACATATCTGGCAGGAGCCTCTTTGTCTGCTAAAACCACTTGTACCGGTGCCAAATGCCTACATGTTACATTAATGCGCATTCCACGTAATTGGGAAGCTCGACAAACCACCATTTTCCTCTAACACTTTCCATCAGTTCCTCTATTTTAAGGTCTTGAAAACTCCCGATCGATTATGCAAAGATATCCTTTAATTTAGTAGGCATGGTCCCTTTGCGAGGGGAATAATGCAAAACTAACATGGAAACGACTGACTTTTACGTCCCGTATATATTCTCTCCTTACTTCCACGCCGTATGCACAACGGGTTTGATTTCCGATCACGACGACAGTTCGCTCTAATGTCAGAAAGAGAACGGAAGTTGGAACAAGCGACGTCGTGGGAGAATATGAACGTGCCTGAGCAGAAATGGTCTCGCTTGGTACCCTGATTCGAAACAAATACGTCCATTCCACGTAGCGAGGCGCTCGCTTAAGTCCGCAGCGGCCTCTGCCTCCCAGAAAACGTAAGTACTTCAGCTCGAACGCGAAAGATTTGCCAGCGTGAAAGTTTCACTGTTGGCCATTAGACCATTAACCGGTCTCGTAGCGAATGCTTTGCTCGTTACTTGCCACTTGATCGTGCTGCAACGGTACTGTCTTGCTCGGAATTGAAACGAGTCAGCGAGCTATGGCGTGGAAGATTCGTGCTCGTTTCGTGGCGCGCCCCCGTGTCCCCTGTGTACCCCATGGCTAAGACACTGCTCCGTTCTCTGGCCCTTCTGCAGCCGAAAAGCTCCCTCATTCCCTTTTGGAAGTTGCGGGAGAGAAAAGCGTATAGCAAAGGGTTCAGGCAAGAGTTGGTATAGGAGATCAAGAAGGTCGATAAGGTCAGGAGAGTGCTGAAGTCTGATGTCCGGTCGTAATTCAGGCCCAGGTGGCGCCAGGCGATTCGTGCTTGTTGCGGTAAGTTGCATATGGCGAACATCATAACTACGGTGATCAACATTCTGCAAAATTTCGTCTGTTTTTATTTCGTTGCTCTTTTTCGTACATCAGATGTCGGTTTTCGTGCCGCGTGTATTGTGCAGGGAAAGGAAGATGGCTGGTGAAAGGAATGCGAATACGATTGGCCACAGCGCCCACGCCATACGTTATTGACTATAGATCCGTAAATCTTTTGTTACATTGTCGATTAAGACATTGATATGTTCGTATTAAAAAAGGAAAGAAAGAGAGTTAACACTTGACTGTCATTGTGGTCATCAGTGACCGGCAATTGACTCAGTGGGCCCATGGTGGTCACCAGTGTCCGATGCTAATTTTTTAAATTTATATTTGTTTTATTCTAACCAATTTTTGAATATTTAAAGAATAAATAAATAGAAAACTTTGAATAGGAGACATTAATAATTTGTATTATTTTTCTTTGTTTGACATATTGTTTGATAATTCGTCGTTAAACAATAATGGAAATTTTATCGTGGCTCCCTATCGTGGTCAAAGTGTTAAGGGGAAAGTTTTCAAAGCTTAAAATTGATAAAGAGTTTGTTGGAAAATTTGTTCTCACATTCGCCTTATTTCTGATATTTCACATATTATAATTGTGATTTTGTTATCATCGAATTTTCAAAAACAACGCGATGTTTCAGCGAAAAGAAATTTCACGAATTTCGTCGAATTGCTATCTCAATTTTCGTCGAAAAAGCAATTTGTATCAATATTGCTACAAACACTCTCGTTCAATATATCTATAAAGATTGTAAAAATTTGAGTGGGGCACAAATTTTCAGTATTACTGGTTGAGAATGTCATATTCGCAAACGATTTAACCCTTTGCACTCCTTTGTCGAGTGTGACTCGACATCAGTTTTTTCCAAAGGAACTCCTATGTCGAGTTATATTCGACGTTTTTTAATTCTTTATTTACTAAACAAGAAAACAAAAAATAAGTAACTACTTGAATTACTTAAATTCAAAATATATGTTATAACAATGTTTGAGACTGATTTTAGAGAGTTTACTGATTTTATATAGTAGTATAGTATATTAGTATAATATATTAGAGTATATTAGTATAGTATAGTATAATATATTAGAGTATATTAGTATAGTATATTAATAGAGAGTTTACTGATTTTATAATAATCAGTAACAAAATTCTTTAAAATAAGTAGCAGTCGAGGAACTGTCCTGTGAAGTAAATTTCCAACAAAATATTTAAAATAGTAGGGAGTTATTGGTAACAAAATTGAAAAATAGTTCAGAGTGCAAAGGGTTAAGATTACATGACAAAGAGAAAGAGAGCGAAGAGTCGAGTCTGACTGGAGCGATAGAAATCATTGGCGTAGACACAAAAGCATGCCGATGTAACTTATTCCACTACTGTATATGCCGTCAAGAACTTCAAAGTAAGGATTTCGGGAGATAAAAGGTGAGGTCAAGCGGAGCAGGTTGAGTCTCTTGTCCTTGCACTGTCCTCCCATCTTCTCGTCTCTGCACAATACATGCGAGGAACTAAGCCGAACAAGTAATATAACTCGCATACCTTATCACACCACGTCTGGCACGAAGTTCGTTCCTGCTCGAAGCATGAACACGACGAAGGCTACCATCTTTGTTTTTAGTCGTTAAGCTTAAGTTGCCGAGGGTAGTGCAGCTTCTTCGCAGACCAATGGCGATTCTCGAATAGAGACACGACATCAGCAGGAGCGGGAGTAAGTAAAGAAAGACGAGGTTTACCACGTCCAACAGAGTTTTGTTGTGCTTCTTGATGTTAGCTATGCAGATGATGTCCACGTCGCCGGTGACCAAGCGATTTCGCATGGTCTCGACGTAGAAGAATTTTGGGAAGGCGTAAATCGCAGCAACGATCCAGACTATCATAATTACGAATTGCAGTCGACTTCTCGTCAGAACGAACCTGCATTTAATCGGATAAACGATAGCCAGGTATCGCTCTACGCAGACTACCACCAGGATCAGCACGCTTGCTGTATAGGAAAGCGCGTGAACGAACATGTAGACTTTGCAGAGGAGATCACCCAGTTGCCAACTGTTCATCAAATAGTTCGTCAAGGTCTGGTATACGCAGAAGATACCGACGCAGAAATCGGCTATTGCCAAATTCGCCAGAAAGAAATTCGTAATACTGCGCAGACGCCGAGAAAATGTCACTACGATGATCACCATTAAGTTACCTGCAAGCAAAACTCTAAGAAATGCAGTTTTTCCTGAGAGGGAGAATTTCTCGTGACACGAATATTACGTGATTGTATCTCTTTTTTTTTCTTTGTTAAATGTTAAACAATTGCGTTATGCAACGCAAACGTTTACATAGAACGATGGTTCTATGTAGAAGGATTCGATACCACTACCAGTGCAGGTAGTCTGGGTGAGTAAGTAAAAGTACTTTTCGTTCTATAGGAGTAATCTCCGAGCGACGCGACGATTCTTATTCACTGGGATGGCAGACAAATTCTCATGAAACTTTGAGGACTAGCCTTGCGCTTTAACGCCGTCGCTGAACGAACGCGAATATTTATGAACGAATGAATTCAGAAGTTCCAATTTCAGAACAGCTTTTATTAGCTTATGAGATAGCCTTTTCGTTCTGTCAGAAGCAGATGGAAAGTTTGAAGGATGGTAAAAAGGGATACAGAGATGTTTCGTCGATATTACTACCACGTTTAGTGACACGACGGGTAATTCAATCGATATAGATCGAAACAACTTACCGAGAAAACAGGAAATGAAGACGATGGTATAGAGCGTAATAAAAATTACTTTTATGTCGGTCCTGTCGAGAATGTACTCCTCGTTTAGAGATAAATCGTGCAAAAACGTCTCGTTGGCCATTAAGCTCCTTTTGTTATGAATTTCACGAACGACGGCTTCGCGGTTATCGATCATTCTGAAACGAGATTGTAAACAATATCGAAATGTACTTTCGGATATTTAAAATGCAATTCGTTGAATATATTGATTACTTAAAAGAAAATGTGTACCGAAATACTCGTAATTAAATAGAAGTTTAATCCTGATTAAGTATTCCTGTTGCATCGTGTTTTAATCGTGAAACGAATTCCGAGAGGAGTTACATGCGACCTCTAGGTGGTAAATGAGAAATGTTAGATGCCTTTGCAATTGCACAGTTGACAACGTAGGATTATTATGTACCGAACTTCGTTTGTAAATTTAATTTTTACCGGAAATTAATTTCACAATTGGACAGATCACGCGAAATGTATAAGATTACTATGAAGAAAATAAATATATTTAATGTTTTGTAATATCGAAACAGTTAAATAGGTAGACTCCCAAATATGTATAGTAAAACGATTTAAGGCTAACAGCATATACTGTTGCAGTTTGTCGTGACGTCAGTACCGACTGTTCAGTTGTCTGACCAATTAAGCAAGATGGCTGCTGATCCTATTCAGATAGCATTTCGAGTGATTGAATTAGAGAAAATAAATTCTGTTATCGCTTCCTATGTGACAAAGGGTGCATATATAGGATATTTATAATATGCTAATACAAATCTGAAAACACATTCTCTGTGAAACAATGTAAAATATTTGTTTATATCTGTAACAGTTCAGTTTGTATAAAATATTGGAAGAATCTGTATCTTTTATAATAATCTTATACATACTTTCTAGGAATGCTTGTGTCACAAAAGGAATAGTTTTAACTTTCCGAGCATGAGACAGGAATTTTGGAAACAATGAAACCGGATAAAACTTAATTTGCTTTTTCGAATACAAGGAATTGTTTTTTGTTATTGTTGTTTTTAGTAGCAATCAATAGTCGAGAAAGTTCAAACTTTTGTGAAAGAAAGTAGAAAGTTTTCTACTTTTATTCCTCTACAGTGTTATACCCCCGAGTATTTCTAGGTGATTCTATATGCTTCACAATTGTCCGCTTTCTTACAGGTTTTACATTTGAAGAGATGAAAAGCATTTTGCAATGATTTAACTAATTCTCAACTGTCGTTCATAAATTGTATGAAATTAAATCTGTAAGTGAACGCAATGATTTAAGAAAGTTAAAGTTATTTAAAATTTGAATCGATTTCCATAATTTTGTGTATCATCTAAGAAATATTTATTTACTTTCGAAATTTCACAGTCACGAACGTACAAGCTGAAGAACGTGCCGTTGCATAGCTCCCACGTTATTCTTCTTTACCGATGGAAATATTATTCACATCATGGAACGTTAATCGACGCTATGTACACAATTAATTTTAAGGTTTCTATGATGTTTCTCTAATTTAATTTTTACATTACATATGTTTAACATTGCATATATTTAGACACATTTTTCAATGATAAGCATACAAAAAGCTATTGTCTTAAGATAATGTCATTGTAATTTTTTATGAAATTACTATTTCATGAAAGCCGTAATACATTTCATCCATAATCATTTTAACAAACAATTTTTATTTTATCTGGCAAGTATTTAATATTATGAACGATATTAGTCATAATCTCTATTTTATAGTAAACTCTTACACGATATCGTTAAATCGGTAAGAAAAATATTTATGCGTTTAAGTGCAAGTATACACGTTTAACTCGTAACTGTTGACATTATTCGTACAATTTACCGAGTTTATTTTTAACTTTCTTGTTTTCAGGTCCGAGTAATTTCGATTATGATCAAATATTTTCTTTATAGATTATTAAACTATAATATTGGATTTGATATATAGTTATAAAAATTAACAAATATGAGATAGCAAACATAAATTGATAAATTGTAAATAAACTGACTTTATAAGTGTAAAGACAGCTTACGTCACTTTGGTGTACCATGCATATCGATAAACTTATTCGTATTATTATTTATTATAAATTTCAAGATGCAGCATCCGTGTTTGTATGAAACTTTATTTCCTTACGTACTATATTTATAAGAACTCTTACCTTACTGTTGAGATGAAAGACGTTGACGTTTAGTTCGAATCACGTTTTCTGTGCATGTATACATACGAATTGGTATAATACATTTAACACAATGGAATTAAGAAAAAAATTATAAGCATCTAAAAATTTTTAAGCCGGATAAAGAAATTTTCTTTTTTCGTTTATCGTGGTAAGTCAATTTAATTAATTCGTATTTCATTGCGAGTTCGATGGCTACGGAGACAAAACCTAGCGACTAATCCTCAGGTATCTTTTCAGTAGTTAACCATGAATCACGAACCAAAGAATGCAGTACCAACTCTTAAACGTGTATCACTTATTCTCACGATCACTACAGGTGAATACCTTTTTATGCTAATCAATGTTGAATTATAATTTTTAATTTCTAGTTTCTGCCACGTTGTACATTAATCGTTGGTAGAATTAGTGGAAGAATTTGCTATCTACATCGACTAATACGAAATCAACGGATTAAAAGGATCGAATGCTTGAATGCTTCCCCTTAGACGATACACGTAATAATTACAAAACTATGTACGACAATGTAGAGTAACATAGTAACGACAAGGTCTATATTTCGCGCGGTACTGAAAGCTCCAAGCTTTCATTCATAGCCACCAGCCCGTGGTCGACCGAGAATCCTAGATTTCGCGCAGGCGTTGCGTCCTCATTCTATTAGTTTCTTTATCTGTTAGATAGTTATTATAAAAAGAGACGGAATTTGTTTGAATCCTTAGGAACTCTCTAGGATATCTACCGGGTGACCTTTCCTGAAAACAACGAACGGAAATTAATACAATTTACGAAGCAGTTATAAGCAAAAGAGAAAAAAATCAGATCGAATGTCAGATTGAATCTCGTGCTATCGTTTGTAGTTACGACTGCTGAGTCGCCGAATTTCACGAGAGTGGGGATTCCATGATAAATACCGGTAGTCAAAGCCTCAGTAACTTCTCGGGAGTACGAAGCAACGATATTTGTCGTAATCAACGACGTTATCGAACGGTTGGAGCTGTCTTTGCAGCGTGTTCTTTCTTCTTACGTTGATAGTTATTTTTATTTCATATTATTATTACAAGGTGACGAAAAATTCAAAAATTCTTTCCGATGCTTCGTTGATAAAGCTTCCGACATTATTTTCGAGCTAAATTTATTTGAAATTAGTGTTCATAGATTTCATTATTTAATCTTAATATATATGATAGTACGTTGCTATATATCTGCGGATTAATTATTCAAAATACGGTGCAAAGTATGTAACAATGTGCGTGCGTGCGTGTAAATGTAAGATTTAATAATATATAACAAGAATTATAACAAGAAGTTACTACGTCTAATAGCACTTGCAGCAACATTAAAGTAATTTGAAACATGTTGAACAAGGCGAAGAGCACGTTTTACCAGAAAAGTGAGTTTTCATCATTTGGGTCGCAAGGTGCTGCAAGAGAAGGAACTAAATTTCTATTTCATCTCAAGATCGCAGCGCGGAGCATAAACCGTTTCTCACTAAACTTGCACAAATATTTCCCGAAAAATTTTGGAACTTAACAGATATTTCCTATGCTTTTGTATTCGTTTCAGTGTCTCGTTGCGATAAGGATTTTTGTTGTGGGTATGTGAAACGAAGAGTACCGATTTTATCATGGATGAGAAACTACAAACTCACGTGGCTTCCTCAAGATGCATTGGCCGGCTTCACTGTTGGTCTTACGGCTATTCCACAAGGTATCGCTTATGCTATCGTCGCTGAGTTAAGTCCCGAGGTAAATTTAAATGAACTGATTGCATATATCAACGTTTACGTCTTTTGTTTATTTAAAATACAATATTCCCTTGTTCTTTTTTCCTTCTTTTCTTAGTATGGATTATACGCGACTTTCATGGCGTCTTTCGTATACATCGTTTTTGGTTCTTGCAAAAGTATTACCATCGGTCCAACTGCTATTATGGCAACAATGGTGCGACCTTTAGTATTGCAATATAATGCAGATATGGTAGTATTACTTTCATTTTTGAAAGGTTGTATGATCACTTTACTCGGGCTCCTGCATTTAGGTGAGTGGACTTCTATACTTTATCTGTAAAAAAAAAGTCTTTTTTACACTTATGTTTCACATTTTTGAGAGAGATGAAGAAATTTAATACGGTTTTTAGGTTTTCTGTTGGACTTCATTTCATTACCCGTAATCACGGGTTTCACTGCGGCTGCTTCTATTAATATAGCTTCTTCACAATTTAAACCATTGTTAGGTATTCCTGGTAGGAGCGAAGACTTGGTAGATTCTCTAATTTCAGTATTTTCGAACCTCGAAAATATCAGATATCAAGACACGTTGCTGGGTATTGTAACGGTAGTGGCTTTGGTTATATTCAAGGTACAGTTTTATGACACGTGACATGATTAAAAGTGACAAATAAACTAAATAATGTCAGATCAAGCTCAAATAATTAGAATGAATGACATTATAGCTTGTCCTGTACACTTTTATCGGGTTCAAACTAATCTGTGTAATGACTTTTATATAAGAATTTACCTGGAAGGCGAACCGGTACGTGGCCGCAGAAAATTACTTGGACCGTTACTCTTGCTCGTAACGCTTTGGTGGTCATCACAGGAACTGTGGTTGCATATATCTTTTACATCAACGATAAAGAACCTTTTAAGCTAACCGGTGAGAATAACACGATAATCAAAAAATCCTCTCACCTTTTGTTGAGTCCTGTAATGTCGCATTATAAGAGAAGGAGAACAAAAGAAGGAAAATAAATGATTTCTAGGATCAATGGGCAATGGATTACCACCGTTTGGCCCACCGCCTTTCTCGATAACAGCCAACAATCGCACGTATAATTTTCTTGAAACCACTGCTGCTATGGGAACGACGCTTTTCTCCGTCCCGATTGTATCTACGATCGAGCATATGGCGATAGCAAAAGCCTTCGGTATGCTATATATTTTTATGTTTGTAATCATGTCTGTAATTACTGTGAATAACTTTGAACAAATCATACATACTCCTTTAGCGATGGGAGAATCTTTGGATGCCACGCAAGAAATGCTCGCATTAGGGTTGAGCAACATATTTGGTTCGTTCGTTCGGTCAATGCCAGTTACAGGCTCTTTTACGCGAACGGCAGTCAATCACGCATCTGGAGTTAAAACCACGTTTGGAGGCTTATTTACGGGTAAGCGTGTACATGACTTTATGATTAAACTTTCAATCGATCTTAATATCGTGTAACTGTGGTAGTAGCAATAATTGGTCCGATAAGAATCGAGTCGAGTGGCTACTGAATAACACCGAAGAAGTGTAACGACGAAATTCTACGATATAACTGTGAGAGATACGGTGAAATGACTTGATACTCAAAAAAATTAACTTCCGTAAATTTTCTTTTGCCATAATGGTTTATTTTTTTCAGGCTGTCTCGTGTTAGTCGCGTCTAGCTTGTTGACGTCTACCTTTCGCTTTATTCCTAAAGCTACTTTAGCTGGCGTTATAATATGCTCCATGTACTACATGCTCGACTTCAAAACGTATGCTCTATTGTGGCGTGCCAAAAGTGAGTAAATTGGATGGCGATAAGTAAAATTGAATTTCGTATTCCTTACAGTTGTATTTCTTTTTCAGAAATCGACTTCCTTTTGATGTTGGTTACATTACTATTTTGCGTATTTTTGAAACTGGAATGGGGTATCATGATTGGTATAGTCTTAAATCTAGTGATATTGTTGTATTTCTCGGCCCGACCGTCCGTTCATACTGAAATCGAACAGGTGTGATAAATGACCTAGGTTGATACCTGAACACCAAATGTAGAACAAGAATTTATTCCCTCTGCTGCATGTTGTAGGCAGAAAACGAAACCGCGATTCGTATCACTCCTGAAGAAAGTATCACGTTTCCAGCGGCAGAACATTTTCGTGCCAATATTATGAAACTTTCGGAAGAAAACTCATACAACGTTATACTTGACTGTAAGAATTTGAAGAGGATCGATGTAACAGTTGCGAAGGTAAGTTTATCATTTAAAATCGTCTTATTGAAAAAATCCATTATATACTGACCATTCTGAAACTTATGTACTTATCCTTTGTTGTAATCGAAACGATTGTCGTTTCTAGAATCTTAAACTATTAGCCAACGATCTACGGCTTCGTGGACAAACTATCGTTTGCGAAAATTGCCATGAAAATGTTGAAAACGTATTGAAGACTGTTGCACCAGATCTTTGAATTGTGTTCTTGTAAATTGTAAATTGTAAAAATTTACGTGTTTACCTCAACTTACGTAATAAATATACCTTTTATATAATTAAATTATAATTTATCCTTTATCCCCTCCTCCTCTCTGAATTACACATCGATTGAAGAATATAAAAAAATAAATTAGCAATGATAACTTAAAATTAGAAATAATAAATTAATAATGATCATAATAATCTCAATTCTGTTGGCGATTGTATTTTTGTTGTTATGATAATGTCATGTGCATATCATATAAAGAGATTTTATAAACCGCATTTAAAGAAGAAACAATGGTAACGAATAATAATATCAGATTGCATTTCAATTGAAAAATAGCAATTCGTGTAAATCGTTTAATGCATTTAATCCATTATGGTTGCAAGATATCCAAAATATTATTGTTTTGACGAGATATATAAATGTTAAGAATTAATATAGACGATACACGTTAGATATTCATTATAATACCTGCATCGATTCAATGAGTACTCTCGATATGCTCTTCCATCGTTTCGTTTTCCAGTAATATCCAATAACAATACTTGCAGTATTCTCTTCGATGAAATTTAATGTGCGTAGATAAAGACAGGAGCGTGGCAATTTGTTCGTGACAGAAATTGCATTCAAATTTCAAGGCTCGTTGCTCTGAAAGCTATGATTAAAACATTTATGTACGCTGCTTAACAAATGATTGTTAAAATTTGAATAGATTTTGAATAACTGATAGTATATTCATGTAAATACATATATACACTCGTTATGTTCATTAGTGTTGTAATTTCTGTGTTTATCTATATTCATATTTTTATCATGTATAACATATTCTACATTGCGTAACGACGTAACAACAAATAATACAGTTGCTTACGTTTATTGTGTCGCCATTTTCGTTGTAATTATTCTTTTCTGAAATAACTGCATATTGAGGCATTTTCGGATCGGTATTCTGTTTTTTTCGAAGCTGTAGCGGCAATACGATTGGGTATCTTCCTTCTTCCAACTGAAAATTTATTTTTATAGTATAAAGTATATACAACAAGACGCTTACTTATAAAAATATGGAAATTTCTATCGAAATTAAATTAATACCGCCAAAATTTACTGACGAATACCGACATCAACATAACACATATAAATGCATACAAAACTCGTACGATATTAAATAAAAATGCAAAATTAAATGTAAATTATTAAAAGTTAATTATTATTATTAAATTTTATTATTAAAATTAGTGTACTTCAACACATTGGAATAACAATGTCACTTCCGTTGCTAAACTGAATATCATATTAACAAGTTTTTGATATTTCAATATATATGCGTATCTATGTCGTTTTAAAATAAAATTATTCCAGTTTGTTAAATTTTTAAAATTTAAAAAGACCGTTGAATTTCACTGGTGCACGAAAAATTACTTTTTTAAACATAATTTCGCATGAATTTTAAATTACAATAGGTGAATAAGCAATATAGATTGCGCACCATCCATTGCGCATAACTGTAACGTCATTTCGGATTACACAGCTACAGAACGATGTGGGATATTTCAAATTTTCTCACGAAATTTTGTTTTGTTGCACATAATGTATAGATTACGTGAAAGATAATATGAATCCAATAACTACAAGTTAAAAATATATAGAAATCAAATTTCCGTGAATTTGCGTACAAAAATTGGTAAAAATTGTGCAGAATCAAACATGTCATGCGTATTATTGGCAGAATAGTTTTCAATTTCAAAACATTTGGTATTTGATTCTTTCTGCAGTTATATAAAAGTCAGGCGATTTATTGATAAATAAACATAATTCGATTGTTTGACCAGTTTCATATGACATACTATTTCATACCATTTGCTAAAATTTCTTTGTAATTGTTTCAATATTTTCTGAATATTTTCCGCGGGTAAATGAGATGACGCCATGTTAGTTTACTACACCAGTAGCGTCACCTTCATTTTGAACGTTTGGTGTTCTGTTTTGAATTGTATTCCCGTTAATAAAATATAATTTGATAGCTAATTTTCAAAAGCGTTTATGATTAAAATAGGTAATTGCAGCTCGAATAAAGCAAGCAAATTGAAAGAGAAGAGATTCGGCTACGATGATTATTGCAACCTACCTTTCTAGAACTTTGAATCGGTGGACGAATGTCGTATACAAAGTCTTTTTTCGTCATCTTCTCGCTGATGTTCCGATTGCACCGTAAATTATACTTCATGGCCTCTCCCAACGTCCAATCTGTTGGTGAATTTCTAGAGCTTTTGTGAGTGTTCATACTTCATAAGTAATACTACCATTTTTTCGCCAGTCATATTTTTTTCATTACTCACTTGTTAAACCGTATCCATATATAAATTTTTACGTATGTATGAACAAAAAGTATCGCAGGTTTTTACGAAAATCAGTTTATTACGTAACGTATTTATTTCTCGTATATTATAATGATAAATTACAAAGAACCCTTAAATTAATATCGTTATTATTATTATTATTATTATTATTGTTATTATTATTATTATTATTGTTATCTTTTTTAAATAGAATTTTCGTATAGAATCATATCGATATCAAGATCTCTATAGTGAAGAGGTTCTTATTTGCTTTCGTTACGCGTTGCATTATCTGATAGATTCTCGAATTATTTGGACCGAAGTTGCTTGATCACAATAAGAATCTGTGTTTCAAGTTTCACTGAACACTACGCATAACAAAAAGTAAACACGAGCTAAGTCATACCGAACTTATATCTCGTGACAACCTGCAAGTGTTTGAAACAAAATTTATATTTCAATCGTTAGCTGCACTGTGTGACAGTGTTAAGAATAGGGAAATACTCGCGTGCGAGCATATGTATAAGCGATATCTCTCATACCGTAGCCGTTAACGTTCAGCCATCGTATTTATCGAGTAATTACATTTTAACAAATAAATAATTCTTTATGCTATGGCGTGTGATTCATTTCATATGACTAGAGAATCGTGGCATTGAAAACTAGAGTTGATCTCATCATACACACATCCATCCACTCATGCATACGCATACACGCAAAGATTCGTATCATTTTTAATTCATCATATAAGTACACGTTTTTTTAAGAAAAAAAGAAAGATAGAGAATAAAAAGAAAAGAAAAAAAAAAATTAGAAAAAAATTTGCTTTTTTACCTATTGCAACATATATGTATATATATACGAGTAAAACATTTTTTGAGGAGATCAAAGTTCTTGTTTCATAAATTTTCATTAATAAAACCTGTTTGTTTCCTCACATTGTATAATGCAACACATTGGCATGTAATAACCTAGCACAATTCCAAGAAGCGTTTGTTCGTAAGTGATTTAATGCGCAAAATGTACACACGCGTAGGCCTTTACGATTAAAATAGGCATTTTGAGATCGTTCACTTTCTAAACGAGTCTAGTCAAGGAATATCTCGATACTGTATTTACATCGATAAAACAGATTCTTAAACGTTCTAGCTATTCCCTTGCTATAAAATAAATCATGAGGACATCGCATCGTAAAGCGAATGAAAATATTTTATTCTGTTAAAAGTGGCGATATCACTGCACGAATGATTCAGATGCTATCTAAATGAGTGTTCAAGTTATATTTAGATTCTCTATTGTTTCTTATAGACGAATCCTGATGTAAGAGCAAGGGTGCTCTCTCTTGCCCAACTTCAGGAAGCGTAGCAATCTCTTGAACAGGACTTCGTTGCCATACGCTTCTCGTAGCTATTTCTTGATATCCCCTTCTCCGAACCTATGATTCGAAATTTAATATTTCTCGTTATTTTTTTATATACTTGCGTGTCTTTTTTAAAAAATATTTTATCTTGATAATAGAGAAAATATATTGTATATAGAAAAAAGTATGTACTTGTCTGTGATGAAGTTCATGCAGGTACAATGTAGACAAAGACATATCGGCAGCGATTAATTCTACCGGTACGGATAAATCGGTAGACAACTCGTGACTCGATACAAAGACAGAAGCGCCTAGAGATTGATTCGATATTCCTTGTTGTAACCCATACAGAAATCCTTTTTCATTATGTACGGGTCCTTCAGCTTTGCTTAAACCACGTTGAACCACGTGCGGTAAAATATCTGATTTCACGTTTATTGATTCATCTCCGGCGGCAGAAACAATTGACGTACCCGGTTGATTTGCAAATATATTACTCGTGCATGGCCCACTTGCTTGATTTACCATCGTGCTTCGAATTATATTCGACACTATTTCATTGTACTGTAATCATTAGATGAATTAAATTTCACGTTAATTCAACATTGAATTGCAAACTATTAAATACTTACACCCGGGCCTAAGCCAGATAAACTTTTTCCCTTAAAGCGGTAACAAAATTTTCTGCATGACTCGGAGGTTTCCAATCGGGATTTGTTAAGGTGAAATGAATAAGGGATAATTCAGTTTTTCCGTCTTCTGCTTGTGTGTACTTATCCGATATAGGAATACGAAGTTTCTCTGGATCTATGGTATATTGATTATCATATCCGACAGTCCGATCTGGTACGAGATTTTCAGTCACAGTTTGCCACATAGGATTTCCATGTTTTCGCACATCCATTTGTGCAAAACTACAAACATCTCCAACACCTGTAACCTCGATCGTAAAATTACGATAGAAGTCAACGATGTCCAAGGCTCGTTGTCTCATGCGGAAGCACAGAATAAATGGTGTAAGCAGAGGGGAAATTAATTCTTCTAAGAGATGAACTGCACGGTATTGAAATAATTGTGCCACTTCTGCCCTCGTGGTTTGTGTATGAGCGTGCCCTCGCCAACTGTCCGGTCTGTAATGTGTATGCGCTAAGACAGCGGTTAAGAGAGTCTCCGGACACCAAACTAAATTTTCATCGGGTATAAATGCCCTTGCACCTGCCAGCATTGCGCCTAATATGGTTATGGTAGTCAAAACGTGTTCCACTGTTAGTACGTCTTCGTCGTATACGGTTAATATTAATAAGACTGTTAATATACTTCCAGCCACAAAAGCAACGTTCTTTGCTATAACAGTCATAATAGGTGATGTAAATATGTTCATGTATCTCGAAGCAGGATGGTATGCACGATTTAGACGGGCATTCAATTCATGATCAAGTTCGTTGAAATGACGAAGGTACAACCGACCATATAAAGACCACATTCTTGTACCTAAAGTTCCTGGCTCTCGCTTGATGATCTGTTCGAGACAGAAATATTTTCCAATACGATTATTCCTACGACACGAAATATATATATCCAGTAGAAAATTTATCGTGAATTAAACGAAATACTTACCTCTCCGTAGTTAAAAAACGAATAAAGTATCTGCCATAGTAAAATTAGTGGACAAAGTAGAAAATTTGCTATTCCAACCCATAAAATATGTTTAGATAATGCTCTTGCAAGCTCTTGCCTTCTGTTTAACTTTTTATAATCTTCTTTGAGATGCCAATTATTTTCGAATGGAGACCATGGACCCCCTATACAAAAACAATTTATAACAAATCGACATATGGTTTTTTAATGAATGCACTAGTATCTGAGTATTTAAAATCTTACAGAATAAAAGTAGCTCCATGTTATATTTTAATCCTCTAGTCATGAAAATAATATCTCCTATAATAGGAATTTTAAGTCGAACGGGTAACAAGGATTTATTGACCATAGCCACCATATAATTTTTAAATCTTAATATTCTATGATATATATCTAATTCCGTAAGCTCTCTCTTGTGAATGCACATTTCTTGTTCTTTTTGCACTTCTCTGACTCGCTTTTGTACCTCGTGCCAGGTAAGATTGTCCAGATCGCGGTCGTCGATTTTCAACGCGGTGTTAAAGAATAATTTTATGTCCCAAAACTGCGTGCAATGATATAAAACTTTGACTAATCGTAAAATCCAAAAAATTGCGGCTACTAAAATACAGATCCATGTAACCAGACCCATAGATGCTACACATTCGCTCGTTGATAAAATGACGTCACTTATCGACGTTTTGTGCGAGGTGCTATTTGTTACTTTGTTTCTGAAAATATATGATAATCGTTAATTAACGACTCATTATAAACAGTATTCGCTATACTGATATTATTAACAAAATCTTACTTGAACAATACAGAATAATCGATGCAATGAAAAAGGAAGGTTGAAAAAGTAACTACAAAAATGAATTGTCCTAGTTCAAGCGCTTCTTGCAGTATCATACAAGCAAAGCCATGTTTTTGGTGATAGTGGTACATTCTTGTAAAAAATGAATCTAGGTCTTCAACATGATTCCATCTGGCTTTATTCCCTTCTGGTACTACATGTATCATAACACCAGATTCCTGAGGTGTTTCCTCGTGTTCATCATCATCTTCTCCATCCTCTTCCTCTCCAATGTATGGCTCCATACGTTGATAGCTGCCATCCAATACCGTTGTCATCTAAAACCATGATTTAGTTTGCTTCTTTCCTTCTTTTTCCTTTTTAAGTAAACATTTTATAGGAAATGCATGAGGTTTGTATGATATTTGACACCAATTTAGGAAAAAAAACTGACAAGTGGTACAGAAAATACATTGATCGTAATTGTTCTAATAGGATAACAAAACATTTAAAGGGCACAAAAAAGAACATAAACTGATAAAAAATATCTGAGAAACTATAAAAATAACATACAACTGAGTATCAAGTACAAAGAATCCTAAAAAACATAGCCTTACCGTTTTTGCTCGTCGGTTTGGCTCTACACAGGTTATGACAGTTTCTCGTTTCATTTTCACATGTCATTAAGAATAATTAACTACCGGTTGACGGTTGCTCCACAAGCATCTAAAATATAAGCCACCCACCAAATGTACTTGTTAACGCGACATAAAATACATTTAAATCCATCTATTAGTTTGCTTATTATATTTCATTCTACACATTTGAATTTCTATGTTGAAATTAAACTCTTGCAAATTCTTCTTTGTTTCCCTTTGTCTCTTTGTTTACCACTTGACAAATCTGCTCTTATCTAAAGATTGCACCAATGTTTCTCAGTTGATTGTGAATTCAGTCACAAATCATTATGCATATACTCCTTGTGTTAATGAGTGTGTTAGTTATATTTTTAACTACTATGCTTCCGTATTTTTCTTGCAAGCATATACACAAAATTAGTATCGTGCAAATACCGTTAAAATATCGTTCATATCATTTGATAATAAAAAGATTAGAAACGCGACATAAACGTGTATAATAATAACATTCAATTACGCTAAAAAAGATAAGCAATTGGATAATCAATTAATACGCAACAGAAAATTTGATTCACTCTCTGATAAGAGAATGTATTCTATTTTTTATATATTTTTGAAGGTGAAACCTAGTTTCGATTTTGCGAAATTATCAACAATATGCCTAGCTTACAATATTTCATGTGTGCATCAAACATCGCTTTTGTCTATGCTTTTGGCTGACCTTTATTGGACGAAAATAGAAGCGTCGTAGACGCAGCAGCGAAAGCAATAGGAATGTTTGGTAACACAGCTGATCTCCATAAACAAAGCATCCTGTCGTACCTTCGTTTTTGGCGACTTTTGTCCCGCTTTCCAAATTGACACGTGCTTATTATTATCAACTGCAAACTCATGAATCTCCACTCACATATTGACTGAGACGCGAACGGTTATTTACTACCAATTTAGATATTTGATTGTTAAAAACATTCAACCAATTCCCCGTGTTTCACCATCTTTGCTGAATTTTGCTTCTATTTGTAGTCCACTTTATTCTGCTAGTCACGAACCATACGTTGATTTTAGGAAGTATTATTTACGCTGTTCTGAATTGGTCAGCTGATAACAACGATTTCTCTGTTAACATTTATCGATTCCGCATTATTCTATCACAGAAAATATATAGTCACAGACAAGATAAATGTATTATTACAAACAAGATATAGAATGAATTTATTATATACATAGAAAAGTTGTCTTTAAAATAAACATCACCTAATGCACTTTCCATTTCACTTTGCACGGACTTTAGAACTTCCTTACTATTATGTTATCATTTCCAACATTATCGATTCTACATAGAATAAGATTACAACATTAATAATGATCGATATTAAAACTAAATTTAATTATAAGATTAGAAATAAGGAATAGAATCACAAACACAGATTTTCCAATAATTATGTACTTAATTTTGCATAGAAATAAAAAATATACATTATGCATACTTACTTGATTTATTTTAATCAGGCTCCCCCATTTGTAACGCTTTGGGTCTCCAGAAGATTACATCCGACACTGATTATAATGATTATAAAATGATTATGGTTATGAGAATACATACATATAAATCAGATACTGATCTTACAGACCATAATAAATCATTGTATTTTATGATGAAATAAAACGCAGTGTACTTTTGATATTTTTAGTCAACTTTGTCCTTTATATATTTATGCAAGAAAGATAAATTAGTTACCAATATTATCGGTATACTTAATCAAGCCGTTGTTAATGATTCATTTTATACAATTTTATACATAATGAGTTAAAGATTTGTATAAATGTGCTCACTCTACATTTGCATCAACACGACTTTAAGCGAGATATTTAAAATGTTCTAAGATGTAATATCGCATGACGTAAAGAGAATAGTGGAAAAAAAGATTTTAAAAGAGTGACATTTCTTTTGTTTTGGTACAAAAGACAGAACAACATTCTTTTACTACGTACGATGTTAAATATTTATTTACGACGATAACTATTATTTACACTGCGACGAATAATTTTTTAAATAAAAAATTAAATTGTGATATTTAATATTTACACATTAATCTCTGCACTGTTATTAATGTATAAATATACTTACGTTTATAATAAAAATGACTAATTTAAAGAAAAAGTACTTTTTGTATTTTAGTATACGTAAAAGACTACCTTTGTTTACTATCATTACTTGTCATATTTAATATTTTAAATATTTTAATTAATAAATATATATAATAATGAAGTATTAATAATAATAATAATAATAAATATAATACACTTATTTTAATAAATAAATAATTAAATAAATAAATAATTACAAATTAAAATATATATGAAATACATAAATATGGTATTTCATATTTAAAGAATTATATATTATTTTATACCCTTTTTCTATAATAATTTATTTATTATTATATTATATGTATATTCTTTCTTTGCAATAGTTCTTAAAAAATAATAACAATATATTTTATGTCTTATACATATACTTCTAATAATAATATACTTATACGAATTATTTTCCATATTTGTTATTGTATGTTCCTACACACATGTAAAGTTTAATAAAGTTATGTGAGTTTTCTCAGATTTGTTTGAAAGTGATTATATATTAAAATGTGTCAGATATAAATGATTTACATTTATGGTTTAATGATCCCGAAAATACTGTAAATTAAAAATTTGACAGAATATTACCGTCAGAATATTATCGTCTTAACCATTGATAGACTTTTCCTATCACAATTATGCTCTAATTAAACCAAACTAAAGTGAAAACATGACTACAAATAATTTCGATTTACTATCATCTAGTTAAACATTTGGAAAAGTTATTAAACCTAAAATAAGAAATATAAAACCTACAGTAGATTTTTACCATTCTCTCATTACATACATGGACCGTTTACTTTGAAAGTGGTGTAAGTCTATTTAAAATAAAATGAGATATCACATAATTTATGCTTAATTTAGTATAAACTTTTAATTTATAACTAGTTAATATTTAATATCTTGAAAAATGCCAATGCTTTGTTCAATTTAAACTTGGCTGATAAAAGAAATTGCATAGCCATTGATTATGGAAGTGGTGTAAGTCCCATTTCCATAGACAGATGGCAGGGTCAGCGGCCACTGATGGCTACATTTGTTTTATTTCACGCGTCGAAATGGACTTATACCACTTTCGAAATAAACGGTCCATATGTGGAATTTCTTCAGTTTTGGAATCATTACAATGCACGTCGTTCATTGGCTCTGGCTTTAGCGTATACTTTAACAATATTGGGATTATGGGTACATAATTGTGAAATAACTACGATATATATAATTCTCTATTCAATTCTTTTATTACTAAGGAAGGTATATCTGCCTTTGAGAGTTTCTCTACAGCGATTGACCGATTCGAGAGAGTGTCAAGAGTGTACGAGTTGCAAATCGCATGAGCTCCCAATTTATATAAACATTCTTTCAAAGTTAGTAGAATTACATCAACAAAATTCGGTTATTCAATTAATATTCAGGTTGCGACCCCAAGATCGAACGTTCCAAATCAAGTGGAGGACTATTTTATATCCTTATTGCCAGTGTCCCGTGAGTTGCATGCACTCATCGTCACCTGGTCACCACTTGGGTAAACCTTAGCGAGGACCAATATATCACCTATATATCACTTAAGACGATAGACATAAAAACCTAAATTATTTAAACATCCATCACCATAGAAAGATGTCGAAGCTAACACACACCCCCAATATTATTCACAACCAACAGGAAGACACACACCCACCACTTACATTTCACACCAACAAATCAGTAGATAGGCAAAACTTATAAAACCACCGAGACAGCAGTCACGAGAGAGTTCTCATGAAAATCCCAAGAAGACAAAGCAAACATCACGACCAGACCATCAGTCAAGACCCACAACGATCGACTGAGCGCGAGAGGCAGTAACACATCAGAACTCTTTAGTTCAACCCTAATTAGGTCTAGCTCTATTAATTTAGAGTAGATCGCATTCCAGCAACATAGTCGCATTTACGTAAACAGGCCTTACAACCCCATGAAACTCTCACCGTGCAAATTGCAGTGTTCGGGACGCAACAATTCAGACGAACACTTCTATTCTTGGTTATATTCTAAATTTCTTGGTGGTATTAAATAAAAGGAAGCTCGAGCATTTCTGTGAGGACTCCAGTGTGATAGTCCCCAAGAATCTTAATGCCGAACCTAACCTTCCCTATCCGACAATCATCAATATCCAGCCCAGTTCTCATGCCATAGCCAGAAACCAGATCTATTATCCTAAAACTAACCCTTTCTTCATAAATATTCCATCCTGATTTCCCACGCTACACTCAAAACCAGATGTATTACCTTCGTTTCGAAAACACTAACTTTTCCCCGACAATCATAAACATCCTGTCCCACTCTCTCGAATCACACCCCAAAATCTTATGTGTAAAAGACGAACGAACCAAAGAATAAAACAGTATTAAGCATTTCTTCAAATCATCCAGAGACTACATTTTGTTCAACCTTTACTCGCGAGTTGTACATTATTATGGTACATTATTGTAGTATTACGAGCTGGGATGGACTTTAGCAAAGGAAATAGTATTAACCACTTGCGCTAGAAAGACGTGCCACGCACGTTGAGATGCTTTTGTTCCAAAATCGCCAGAGACGTGTATACCACGTCGATAGGCATTTATCGCAGAAATAAAAATGACGTGGGCTGCACGTCGGTTAACAACTAGATCGTTCATTTCTCGAGTTTCAGTCCCAGAGTGCACTACGTCGCATAGTGTCATCGATATCTTGAAAATATTTCAGAATCGATACAGTATCTCGCGCCGTCAATGTGACACCTTTCCGCGTGTTATACTGTAGTGCGCGGCGCCGCAACCGTGAATTTATTGGTAGCGTAAGTGGTTAAGAGGGATTCCTATCATAAAACAGCTTTCCGACTTTGCTTTTGCCCCTTTTACGTTAACATCTAAAAAACGTTATCATCGTACATAAATAAATTCGTTATGTGAACTGATAAGCTATTTCAACCGGTGCATACGAGGACGCATGAGTTCATCCCAAATTATTCATATTTTTTATTCGTTTGTTTCATTCCGGCCCGGTCTCAAAATATTCTAAACATCTCGAAATTTGAGAATATGTTTTATTTTTCACAAAAATTACAATTTAAATAGCCAATGGTCACTACTTTTTACGCATGACGAGTGTACTCGTCGTGACACAAAATCCTGCCACTTTTCCATGACGAGTATACTCGTCAGTCACAGCTAACTGGTTAACCCTTTCGCTTCGAGCGCCGCTTATAGGCGGCATCCATGAGATGACCTCTGGGTACGGGCACGCCATATATCCGGCATCCAAATGATGCGTATACAAGTGCAATCTGTATACGACTGTTTTATTCAGCACAATTGTTATTTAAGATTTAGGAAAACGTATGGAAATATACAGAAATCACACGCACTGTGCATACTTTTGGCGCGTGCTTCCGTTCAGTGACGGTACTTCGACGGATTGAACTACCGAAGCGAAAAGGTTAAACTAACTCTTATAAACTGACTTTAGACTTTGACACACTGTCTTTGACTGAAAACTCTTAGATTGAAACTGTCTTAAAAACTGACCTTCTTATTGTTAGACTGTAAACTGTGAGACTTTGGACCCCTTGCACCCTTATTTAAACTATTCATTCTGTCCTTTTTTCACGCTCAGGCCCTCCTCCTAATCACGCCTCTTTCCCCGCAACCTCGGGGGACCAGGTACTTCAAACATATTCTAAGTTCAAATACTCCCGACACTCCCTCAAGGCCGCGCTCATTCTAATCCTACATATGATATAATATATATTAATATTTTAATTTAAATTATTACACATTTATAATATATAATATTGTGAGAGGAATCTTTATTTGGATGGCGTCACCTGCATCGAGATTTATCTTTGCTTCGAGGAACCATCCAGCTTATCAATTCTCGAAGTTGGGTTGAGTGACGCAATGGGTTGTCATAGGGCCTATAAAAACCTAGCTGAAGGGTTCGACGCCACACACACTTTTTGACAGTCCACCGTTTGCACCATGCATCATAGAAGACTTCGAGCCTCCGTACATTTTGTACCGCCAAGAAATATTAGGTGAAGTAAAAAGAAATCCATTATTTTTGCATTCAATTTTATGCAAAAATAATAGATTTCTTTTTACTACACCTAATATAAAATATAATAAAAATCAAAAGTTCGTTTCGACTTATTAATCCGATCTTTACTACAATATATTGTTATACATATAATTACATATAATAATTAATTGAATAAAAGACAACGAATAAAATTGTATTTTATAATCTTATGCTTGAACAGAAGTGCTGGCAAATGCTCAAAAATCTTTATTTACACCATCTACTATTGTTAAAATAAGTGAACGAATGAATCATTTTAGTTAATTTAATGCTAGCTTAAGAATTAATTAAAAAATTTATAGGATTATATGGAAAATATCGAAGAAAGGTAATCTACACTTGAAGAAATTTGTGATAAATATTTGATACTCATTTATAAATTTTTAGAATTATATTATTGGTACATAAAAGAGCTCACATTCGAAAATATCCTCAAAAAACAAAATATATATGTATATGAACGAAAAAACAACAGTATTTATACATCGCAGCAAGAATAAACAGCTTCGTGTGCAAATGCATTTACGCAAGGTCGTACTTATGCGATTGGAGGCCCCGCGCAACACCAGGACGACGCGTAGTTTACGAGACCTTAGCGAAACGTTGCTATGCAAGTTAATCAAAATCATACACTTTTTTTACTAAGCTCATAGAAAATAAAAATCGACATTTCCGTAATGATTTAAATACGTTAAAAATAATGCAACAATGATACATATACAGGTTCTCCCATTTTAATCTTCCAAGACAAATATTTTGAAAAATATGGAAGATATGGAAAAATATTTTAGATTCTTAAAATTTACATGGCGTCGTATCAAAATCTGTCGGCAGTAACATTAAAAAGAAGAATTCTTCTCAAAGATGAATCAACTCGTGTATCGAACTAAACAGATGAGAATTCGAACACTTATTACGAGTTTGTGGCGTTAATCGGCATTGTGCTCTCATCCAATTAGATCTTTTCAGAACCATCGTGATGTACAAAGTCGACCGTGAAACCTGTCTTTGGATAACACTATATTAACGACAGGTCAACTTTGAAAGTTCATACCTCAGGAACAATTTATGTAAAAATGACACCTAGGTATCGTCTTGAAAACCATTGCATGCTAGCTGCAGTAATATATGGCAATAAACACAGGTTCTAATTGTAAAAATTCCAAATCGACTTTTGTAAACTTTTTTAAGGTTATTTCAAGCTCAAATAAATAACATAATCTGACCTCCACGAAAGCATTCAACGTTTTCTTCGAACCATTTTTTCGTATTTTTATATACGAAATATTTTAATAAAATAAAATAAATACTTTAATATTTATTTTATATACGAATATTTATCCTTGAAAATTAAAATCCTTGAACACTAACAATGAGTCCGTAAAAATTTCGTGCAATGTTTTCGTTAACCTCTGTTTTCGTCTCTAGCAACTTTTCGTTTTTATATTAATATTTTATATTTAACTTAATATTTAAAAGAACTATTTTCAACTGTAGCTCTGAGCTACGATAATAATAGTTGATTGACAGGAATTTTGAGAAGAAAAAGTGGGTCCACTCCTACATTTTGGCTTCGAGTATTTGTTCGTTTCCGAGATATTAATAAAGAATTTTCTCACTTACACCATTACGAAGACTCACTAATGCACTCGCGAGAACTGAAGAGTACCAAAAGTTTTTTATTTTAATAAAATTTAGTATCTATCTTTAATTTAAATTTAATCTAAATTAGAAATTTTTTCGAAATATTAAAATATAAAAATATCTGTATTTTAGTTTGCAACTATACTTACACTGTTTTCAATATTGTTGTTTGTGTAGTGTAAATATTTAATGTATAACCTCATAGAGAACCGGCGTTCAATCTAATTCGTTTTATGATAAATACGGTCCTGCATTTATAACATCGCGGTTTTCTTATTCATGTCTGAGCAATATATTCAGCAAAATATTCAAAAACATACGACTCTAAGAAACATAGTGAAGTTAATAATGCATTAACACCACTACTATCAATAGCTATATTTACGTCGATTCTATTGTCAGTATATGCGTTATTAGCAATGTATCGCAATCTAGATGTTATAAAATGATTTAGATATAATAATATATTCTTATAATCGCAGTACTCAGTGTCTTTATTAAAAAATTATAAGTGATATCATGCATTAGAAAAATAGAGAAAAAGTTTCCTGTGCAGTCTGTATTTAATTATGAGGTTATTAAAAACATAACCTCAGTTCTTATATTCTTCAATTGTTGCAAAGTAACACTTACAGACCGACGTGATTCTATGATACAAAATGACATTTTAAACTGTTCGGAAATTACGTATTCATTTTGCATATTATTTAATTTGGATTCCAAACTTCCTTTTACGATATTATAAAATCATGTGAGCGTACATTTGTTGGAATTCGTATTAAAGACGGAAAGACTATTTAAATTGCAAAATAGATCGTTTCTTCCAAAGTTTCAAAGGAGCAAGTCACGCTAAATTGTTTTCATTTGTATTACATTTTCTTATTACAGAAACAGTAAACAATGCTAATACATACATTCTGATAGTTTTGTTTGCTTATAAGCTCAGGGAACTATTAATTTTTGTTTCAAATAAAAGTGTGGTAGCTGTACTATAAATAAATTATTTAGTGACAGTACGATAATGTAATTTAAAGTTAGATTTAAAAACTATATGTAGTCATATGTAACCTCTAAATCACATGGGATTATAGAAGATTAAAGAGCAAGCGTACATTTCGTCTTATCAAAAGAATGGTTTCATATGTATTTATATATTTTTTGGATAATTGATAAGCTGTTCTTGTTTCCTTATCTTTTTCCAATTTTCATCGAGCAATCATGAAACTTGATTATCACTGAATAGGAAGTTACAAATAAATGGAAAAAAGGAAAATTTTGTTTTAATTTCTAATAAAATTAGATTTTTCAACTACTGCTTACTGCTAACTTTATTGTAAACAATCCGACTTTCGAATACATTTTATTTGCATTTAAAAATATGTTGGAAATTTTCGATAAATCATTTCCTTTTATCAAATGCTATAATGGAAAAAGATAACGGTTGTTTTTAATTATCAAGTAATTCGAAATGAAGATAAGAACCTGTACTTCAAGAGTAAATTTCTATCCAACAATTTTATCCCTTTGAAATCGTCGATAATCTTTTTTGTTAAATGAAAATTCAAAAATTGTTCTCTAAATGAATAATATAATTTTTGTATAATTTTGTTATTATTTATCATATTAATTGCTGATATTAAAATTCACATTGATAAGCTTTTAAGATCATTTCATCTCATGTCCATAGATCTCGATAAAGAACTGTCCACTTTAGAATACAGACAGTCGTATTGAAATACAAAATTTAACTTTTTAACAAAAGATGACGAAATAATTTGTCATTGAAAGTGTTTATCCAAACGAGCTAACTGATCATAAAACTTCAAAGGTTACGAACAATTTACATTCGATACATCATTTGTCTCTTTATTATCAACATAATAGTATAATACTTTCTCATATTTCTATTTATATTAACTGCACTGTTCAGTAAAATTAATTTTCATCTCAGTTCTTTACTCATTTATGCAAGAAGAATATTTATCTTCGAGTTGTCTATTGTGAAATAATTGGGTAAGATGCCAACTTGACAATTCAAATTTACCATGAGCATCAGGGGTTAATACATCTTCGCAAGTTTGCCGTTGTACGTGCAGAAGGCATTTTCTGTAAGGGAACTGTGGCGGGAAAGCCGCACATAACGCCAAAAACCTCTCGTAGCGACATCTAGTGAACCTTCTTTGAAGGATTCACACAAGCCATCCGCCAGTATGCAACGAAAGCTCTTGTTGTGATTACAGGTGTTATATACGTATTCAAATTAAATTCCTTTTGTTATAATTAAGAATCATGTATTCTTCACATTTAGTATTTAGTAGGGAGAACAAGACTCCTACGTTTGATGACTCCGAGTAGTATGATTTAGTGAAAAAAAAAAGAAAAAGAGAAATAAGTGCAAACGCGACACGTTGCAAAAGAATACCGTCTCAAGATTTTAGAGAAAAGAATGATGCATTCCCTCCATAATTTACCGAAGAGCGCGGGTAAAGAAGACGAGAACTTCGCCATTAATAATTTCACTATTAAAGGAGTGAAAGCACACATAAATTACGAAGCATCCGACGTCATGGCAGCCAACGTAAATTGCCTCTATTTTAGAAGCCTAATCAGACATCTGATTTCTACAGGTTGGGACATATTTCGATTAAAATAAATTACAAATGACCAATCAAAATTTGATGTGATTATTAGCTTTGATCCGATTATTTAGATTCGGAAACCATAATATACGTTTTTGATATAATATGGTCGCCTTCAAGCAGCAATAAATATAATCACATTAAACAAAGCTTAATTAAAAGATTATCTGACTTTAGATAAAAGCAGGTGATTAAATTTTTTAATGATATTGAGTTAGCAAACAGAAAACCTACTCAGTTCCTGAGAGAGATGAAACAGTTAGCTGGTATTGTAGTAGCTGATGAGTTTGTTAAATCATTGTGGTTGAGCAAAATGCCTGTCCACATATGAGGACTGCTAACAGTGTCTGAAAAGTCAGACTAAAGCACATTGGCAGAAGTGGCAAACAAGGTGATGGATAATACCAACAGTGAGCATGTCATAGTTACTAAAATTAAACCACATGTATAGAGCAACCACATTGAGTAAAAATTGGATACTTTGAAGAGAACTGTGACATTATATCTCCAAGAAACTAAGGTGGCAGTAAAGAAATTACAAGAAAGTGTGAAGTTTCACTGTCACAGCATTACAACAGGGTAAAACTGTTTGTACATAAAAGCTTATATAATTGTTCACATGTATTTTTAAGAGTGGACAAAGTACAACTTCCACTAAGGCCACCATACTCTGATTTATATAAGTTGGTAAAGAGATTAGACAACAGATTTATCATAATAATCGACGGAGAAGGAAAAACCACATCAATTGATAGATTAAAACCAGCGTTTGTAGCACAACTGGATCTTCCATTGACGACAATAAGTCAATCACAAACAGATAGTAAAAATAAACTTTCAAGAACCTATGTAAATAAAAAAAAAGTAATTTCGCGCCCAAGTCATTTTTGTGAGGGGGTAATAGCTTTGGCGGGAAAGCTGCAGATAGCGCCGAAAATCACTGGTAGCGACATCTAGCGAACTTTGCCCGAAGGGTTTACATAAACCGCCCGCCAATATGCAACGACAGCTCTTCCGGTGATTATGCGTGTTAGATACACGTATTAAAATAAAGTTCCTTTTGTTATAAACTGAGAATCAGTTATTCTTTATAATATTTATTTAGTAGAGAAAAGAAAACCCTTACAGAACTGAGGTAACACCTGTATTACATACTTGTTGATGCAGCTCTTTCAGATTTCATTACATAAGCTGTGATTATTGTTAACACTTTTTAATAATAAAATTTTGTTAAAAGATATAAGCACGAGTCAATTCGGGAACATATCATTCCTATCTTTTCTGAAGAGTGCATATTTACTAAAGAACACCTTAATTAAGAAGTTAAGACAAACGAAATTGTAAAACTATTGAAAACATCGGTATTTATTCCATTGCAAAATTTCTACAACGTTTAGACACTTTCCATGGACTAGTATTTTTCTAGATGGATAACTTCATGTTTTATATGATAATTTAGTTATGGTAGAGGAAGCTTTTCGGAACATGTATTATAATGGCACATTATAAATAAATTTATGTATAACCGTTACAATTGACTGTGACATATATTACATCTTAACATTTTCTAGCATACTATTCATTTGGAAATTAATACTGAAATGAGCCATTCAATATTACTTTATTTATCAATTTATGTAGAAAATTGAAGCTCACGAAGAGTTTCTTTCTCCGAACAAAATTTTACTTTAGTACGTTAATTTTCAATACAATCTCTTTTGAATTAGTAGGACGTTAAATTCTAAATCAATCACGACAATTTTATACATCCTAAAGTAAGTTTCACAGTATGTAATATATATTTTTGGATTTAAAAAATTGGTGTATTTTGATGATTACAAAATAAGAATATATTTTAATTACTGGGTAATACACATAATTTGTTTTGTTAAAAAAGATAGATCAGAAAGTAAGTGGAATATGGTAGTCAATATTACTTGGAAAAAAAATTTATACTTAAATTGTGGTAACACAATTACTTCGGTTACCGACCGAACGTTACACAACTCTACCTACAGGCTATTAATATAAAAAGAAGAAAAAAAAAGTCGCGTGCATACCAAACAATATAGTTCTTATACGTTAATATTAATAAAGTTATAATCTCGTTAAAGCTAACGTTTCTAGTGCTAATCTTTTTTACTTCCTTTTCGCAATATGCGAGTATTCAACAGCTATAAAATGAATGAACCTGGCGTGATCCGTAGGTAGAAGATCAAAGTATTACAAATATAATACTATTAGTTATTCATCGTCGAAAATTACAATCTGCATATTTTTCTAAGGATTTTCATGAAATTATTATTAATTTATTAGTTTTCTCTATGAAAATGCACTCAGATAACTTCAACGTTATTATATTAAATTGCATGTATAATAAATTATATGCAAATTGAAATAATTTCCTGATGTTTGAGAAAAATATTTCTTAAAATTTATATTAGAATATATTAATTGGATTCATTCAGTTAATATTGCATTATATATCATAGGTGTATTGTAGAAATAGAAATGACTGTGGAGTTATAACAGATCAATCGAATTATACGTAAAATTTATTTTAAAAAAAAGAGAAAAAGGCTGTTTCCAATGTATCTGAACTAGCGCATATGATAACATTTAGTATATACCTCATTTTAAAAATGAGTAAAAATTGATCATATCAACATTTATTTTATAAAATACTGATAAGTTATAAAATAAAATTTCAAACAATATATTGTTCTCTTTTATATTTTGAAAAATAATTTACTGGAAGAACTGCACTGTTTAAATGGAAGGAATAGTTATTTACTTTACTTATTAGTTTACTATAAATTTATTTACTGTATAAAAAATAGAATTCTATATTTAGTTTGTGAAAGTAAAATGTTTTAATTTATTTTTTATTTATAACTTTATATTTAAATGTAGCTTTAATTCCATTATCAATATGGTAATGTGGTTCCATACAGAATCGGTAACGTTGGGAATGATACTAAAGATGGAAGTGGCTTTAGAGTTTCCAAAATGTGTTACAAAATAGGAGATATCTATTTCTTTCTTCGTCTATTACTGTTTTTATACCTATATATTGTTATTAATAAAGTTCAAATGAACTTTATTTCATTTGTAATAATAAATTAATGAATATATCGACTATCGATAAAGGAAGTTATTTTTAAATTATTTCCTTATAATTTCAAAGGATGTCGCTGATGCATTCAACACGTGGTGTTACTTATAAGACAGTGTGTTTTGAAACATCAGTCGTCAAATGTGAAAAAGTAAGTAGAGAAAACTACGATTGATTTTTCATTCATATCCTGTGATTTATTTCTTTTTCTTCTAAATGTACATATTCACATCTATGTCATCTGTAAAACGAATGTCGAAGATTATAACTGCTACTTCATAAGATAGAGGTTATGTAAATCAAAATTTCTAATCAGGATTATTGCAAAGCGCTTTTTGTTAAAATTTCAATGTGAGATATGGATGCAGGAAGTACAACTTCTACTGAAAATCCCGCACCTCCAAATCTAGAGACCCCTCCACGTGTCGAACGAGTAAGTTTCCGGTACATTAGCATGAACATTAAGTTTTCAATTTTGTCGAATTTTTATAATCCTTTTCATAACAGAAAAGCACTCGAGGATCGCGTCAAAAGGGTGTAGATAGCGTGACAAAAAAATTTCTTAGAAATTTTGATCCAGAACACAGTGAAAGAGAAAAACGGAAACTTCATCGACGATTGTATCAAGGCCACAAAAGACACGCTTCATATGATGAAAATGGTGTTTATGTACAAACAGGAGATGACCTATGTGATTGTTTAAATTTGAGGTGCGCTGGATGTCATTTTCCCTGTTATAAATGCTCTTCCTCAAAGTGTGGTCATGAATGCAGGTTTGGTATAAAAGATAGTTGTATGGAAGTTGCATTAGTTCTTACAAGTATTAAGAATAAACTTTTTGCTAGGAATAATCGTAAATGGACATACGAGTCTATAGAAAATGAGGGTTGTGACGTTATCACAAAGAATCCACTACTAAAAGACAATTAATCAAATTCAAGACTGCAATACGATTATATTATTTTTGTAATAACCCTATGGCTGTGCTATACAAAATCTTCCTATGATGTTTTCCACCAAACCATGTATTATTATTTACATTAATGTTATATAAGATTCATATAATAGTTAAGACAATTAGAATATGAAACGTAACGCATAAGAATACCTATGTCTTTTGTTTCTTTGTAATTTCCTTAATCATCGTTATCAAACTAAATACCTATCAGATCCTCATTTTGATCATGCATGCAAGTTTTTAGGAACCATAACAAACAACACAACTAGTCACTGCAAGTTAATTGTTCCTATGTGGAACAAATTCGCCAAAACTGTCTTAGAAGAGGAAAGAACAGTTGCAAACTGAATCCTACAAAAGCAAGGAAAGAGAGATTGAAGATCACCCATAGTCGGTGATGCACGTGCGTGTGCACTGGCACATGAACGCGCTATTGATTTTCCACGGCACTTTTGGCGTAGTGCGCACGTACCTAACGCACATATACACGCTCCACCAGCGGAGTGGGGTGAGCCCCGGTGCGGAGGGCGTGCGCTTCGTTTTCCTTCAAGATCGTGAAAGTTCACGGCAGCGAGTGGCCGGAGACAGAGAGTGTTGCGAATGTGCTGATCCCGTGGCCGGTGGAAATCGAGCGCAACACCCGTCGATCGATCATTTGCTAATTAACGGCCGTGGTTAAGGCACTTGGACATTGGATAACTGACCCGTGTCATTCGGACATCGACACTGGACAAACATCTTCGGTCAAGCTAGTTGTTATCGTCCCGGCTCGAGAAAGCTCTTAGTCTGGCACGTTGCCTGTTTCTTTGGGTTGGCAAAGGATTCCTTGAACTTTAACAAGGGGCAACCTCGAACTTGGTGTTTATTATTGTTTTCTGAACTAGGAAGAAGAGCCAGAGAAGTGCATCGGGAACATCAACGTCTTCTTCTGGGACAGTGTAGCCTATTACAAGTCCAAGTGACTTGTTTGAAGGAAAGAAAGCACGCTATAGTGTCGTCTGCTCCACCAGGTTCACCAGACACTTTACTCTCTGCAGACCCTCCGCATCACCGGGTCAATGCGATCATGATCTTATCGCCTAATGCGACTCGTGACGCGACGTTTAACCGTGGTCGTGGTTCAGTAATCGGTCAAAAATATTTCTGGAATGTACCTCTGCTGGTTGTACTGATTATTTTTATTGGATTCTTTGTAATTGATTTCGGTAGTGATTGGTAGCAATTGATCGAAACTTGATGTAGGAGCTCCTGAAGCTGATTTCAGTGTTACTATTGACTCCGAAGTGAACGTCCCGATGGAAACGTTGTTTGATAACGATGACAAGAGTCTCGAATCTCAAACATCACTTGTTGAATATATACACATATAGAGGGATGATTACGGGTCATAAGAGGATTATGAAGTGCCATTTATATCAGGTCGTCGCTTTTTTCAGCGAACAAACTCTTGATCAAGCATCACAATACCAATAAAAAAAAAGAATGAAAAGAGAGAAAAAGAGAGAAGGAAAGAAAAATATAATTATAAAGGTAAAAGAGCACGTGGAGCAGCTCGGTGACTCCACTTTAAGTTTCCTCGAGCTTTGTAGGTCGATGACAATTGGAGATACAATATCGCTATAAACATGTACGATTTTATTACTATTCAAAGTGGTTCCTTTTATACAGTCAGTTAGTCGGTAAACGTCATCACTCGTGGGAGTTGGATAAAGAGAGTATATTGGTCAATGTAAACAGCAGCCGGCAGAGGCGTAAAAAAATAACGGGGTTGTAGGGTGGCGGAGGGTTGCTGCAACCTTTACGCAAAAGCCGTAGGCGTGCGAGTCAATTTCGCTTTTGTACGTTGTGCGCGACAGACAGATTTAAACGGGATCACGGAGGGACCCCGGCTGACGGGGGTTAACATCATCGGGACGGCAGATGTCAGGATGCCGGAGCAGAGCAACGATTATCGCGTGGTGGTGTTTGGGGCGGGCGGTGTCGGCAAAAGCTCTCTTGTGCTGCGTTTCGTGAAAGGAACCTTTCGTGAGTCCTATATACCCACTATCGAGGATACATACAGACAGGTAAGCCTAAAAACGACTATACGTGAATTCGTATACTTCATGTAGCCAAGTCCTTACCTGTGCATAGACACTAGTACTTTGAATTTATTTATTTCATTTTAAATTCAAACCATATATCACGAGAAAGAAGTTAAAACTGTAGAGTGGAATTGTCTTATATGATTTATCGTTTTCGAAGAAATTGAGCTGTAAAATTCATAGATGTGATATTGAGTAATCATAGGTTAGATTCGATCGCGCGCAAATTTTATTCTTTATATTTTAAAAGCAACGCAATGAAAGCAAACTGTATTACAATTTTTTAACAGAAAGTTGTTTTATTCTTTAATATCGAAATCATTTCTGCGATATTAACATATTTCTTATCGCTTAAATTGATTTCGCGATCTTGATTTCGAAACAATTGCATGTTTGATAATTGACGGTTGAGAGTAGTATAGAATTGGATTGGACAGACGACGCAAGTAGTAGAGATATGTCGTATATGGAACAGTGGTAATAGATTTTCCAGATCAGATAAGTAGCAGGGACTGTCGTGACGTAAACTGCTGACGCTTCGCCGATGATTCATACATGATGCAAGATCATTGCTCTAATCGTTCATCTTTCAGCCATTATCTTGTTCTGTAATCGCGAGACTCGTATAGAATCGAACCGTGAATAAACAATCGATCTCTTCGACCAACTATTTCTCTTTTTAATTGCATTTCGAATCGTTATTCTCGACGTTATTATACAACGTCTCGATAAATTGAGATAATAGGGTTAGGTTAAAGATTCATTCCGATTAATTTGCATACGTTTAAATTTCAAATTATCCTATTACTATTTAATAATCAACAATGTTTTCAACGTCGTATACATTTTTAGATACGAATACTGCAGTTCTTAGTTGATACAGTTTTATGTTATCGTGTGTCGATATTTATCTGTGTTTCGTATTGAAGCGTTATAGATCGCGCTGCGATTGAGATTGCGCGGTTGTTCGATTAGTGGATAATTCAGATTACCAATGGTCTTGATCGATCGATTCCTCGATGAGTTGGTGGTATCGAACAGTCGATATCGATCGAGATTGCAATAAATTGAAATTATTCTCTAACCGATCGATGCTGTGACAATTTCAAGCACATCGAAACTACCGAGGAATTGCGAAAAAGAAAAAGTATAAAAGCTTCGTTGGCGAAACTGTTGAGACCTGTGCTGTGTGTGCGACGAGAAGCGGGACAACGGAAACGAGATACTTGAACGAAATGGGACGATTATACTACGATATTTCAGGTGATAAGCTGCAATAAAAACATATGCACGCTTCAAATTACGGACACAACGGGGTCTCATCAGTTTCCCGCGATGCAGCGACTCTCCATAAGCAAAGGTCACGCCTTCATCCTGGTGTATTCGGTATGCTCACGGCAAAGCCTAGAGGAACTACGACCAATCTGGGCCATTATTCGGGAGCTTAAGGGACAGGACATATCGCAGATACCTATCATGCTGGTGAGACCTATTTTTGATCAGCTTTTCTATTTATAAATAGCTTTGTCAATTTTTTTAAACTTCTCGATTATATAGAAACTTTAATTAATTCGTTTAAGTCAATGGCATGATTTAATTTTCCGATTTGTTTTGCCCAATTATTTGTACAGGTTGGGAACAAATGTGACGAAAGTCCATCGGTGCGTGAGGTATCGATGAGCGAGGGTGCAGCGGAAGCAGCCAATTGGGGCTGCGGTTTCTTGGAGACTTCTGCCAAGACAAATCATAACGTGAACGCTTTGTTCCGGGACCTGCTGATGCTCGAGAAAAACAGATCTGTTTCATTGCAGCCGGTACAGAGCAACAACGCAAACAGCCTGAAGGAAAAATGCTGCGTAATGTAACTGATCGAAATTGGAACATCCGTAATAACAAGAAGACGTGGTGCATCGCGTATTCAGGCAACAAGAAGCTAGAGGACGACAAGAGCAAGAACATTTGCGCCGATTTTTCCACCCGGCATGGCATCGACCGCGGTAGTCTCGACACGACCATTAGATAGAATAGGTTAGATTTGCGCAAACGAAAGGGACGATAAACATCCGCGAAACCACGTGTCGTACAGGGTGTATCTAATGCTCTTTATTCGTTAAGAAGCTTATTCTTACGCGAAACAAATTTTCTAGAGCATATTAAGACCTCCATGAATGATCGGATATTGTAAGGTTATGTTCGATGGGATATAATGTGCTGATCGTTACGACGATCGATTCAGAGCATTAGGGCCGCTTTGTAGTCTCTTTCTAACCGAACGTACTCTACACTATCGATAGATTTTTTAATTTTGATACAGAGCGACGTATTCGGTCCGCCTCCTAGGTTTCACGTGACCAACGACGCGAACGCGTTCTTCATTCTGTACCAGTCAGCTCGTTAGTGGATCATTATACATTTTGACCATCTGTTCGACTATCCCGAGCTTACTATATGGAAGGGCTGCGATCGTTCTAACCGGAAACACCGATTTAGACCAAGAACCGATTACAAAAGCGATCGTCCTTTTCGTGTCCAACGAAACAAACGGGTTTTCCTTGAAAGAGCAGTCAGTACAAAGTTAATCTTGACCACGTATTAATATTAATGTACAAGAGCATACCGAACACATTCAACGATCCAAGAAAGAAAAAGCTCTTTCACGAAAATCTTCCAAGACCGTTGTCTGAGACTACTGTAATGATCATTTCGAGACCGGTGTCGTATAAGTTTCTCCAGCCAGAGGTGAAGCATAGGAGTGAACATGCGAACGAGAAACGACTAAACTAGGTAAAAGTTGTTACGAGATTGGTTTTTGTTGAATAGTTGTAAGGTTTTTGTAACGATGCTAATTAGGATTTATTACTCGACACGTTGGATGATACAAAACATGTACACACACATACACATACACGTAAAAACAAAAGCTTACATACATATACACGCACAAACACACAGGTTCATTAGGCACCACACATTTCCCGTGTTGACCCAGATTTTAGTGTTTTCCTCCTGTATATCGTACCAGACGTAGGCGTGTTAGTGTTTGCGAGAAGACGTTAATTAAAGGGACTCGCCGCGAAGGGCTCGTTTGTTCCTCATCTCGAGTTTCGTTCATCTTGCTACTCGCATTTATTGTTGCAAGTGAGGTGTATGGATTAAGTTTGGACAAAATTTTCAATACTGATACCTGTCGTTTAGATGTGCTATCGCTATCACTGACAAACGAATAGAATAAACTTATAAACATTTAAGGATCATTCTCATGGACCGTTCTTTCGTATATGAGAATACCTGGATTCTGTTGAACTTGAAAAATTTGTCCGAACTATCCACCTTGACTTTGTTGGAGCGATCGATTACTATAGTTTTCTTTGTATTTAGCTGTTATTCAACGACGTCTCTGTATTTGTGGAAGCCGAGACTTCCTTTTATTTAAGATATGAAACGAAGGCACGAGTAGATAAAAAATAGTCACTAATTTGGTTAGTAGAGAGTCTGCGTTGCTCGTTTTTGGTGAACATCAACGAATTACGTTTCCAGCCATTTTGTACGCGGTCGCCGTTTTGTCTTCTCGTGCCGATGTTCAACACTTCGTATCGATAGCTTTAAGGGACGAACGCTCTATTCTGTCCAACATGTTAACGGGATAAACGAGAACAAAGGTTATCCTGCCGATATTACGATAGACAAACGATCAGTGTCATTACTATGATCATTATTATTACTGTCAAATCATGAACACTGGCGGTTATTTCACGGAAGAAACACACATATCTTACATTGTAACCGTGAGCATACGAGCAGATACGTGTGTGCACATTTATTGGAAGAGGGCCGGTTTCGCGTCAATTGATTTCCCGGGATCAATTATCGTTGGAAAAATTCACGTGGATTTCGATGAAAAAGCTTACAAACAAAGAGAATCTCTAGTCAATCGTGTTTAACTTATTACTCGAGCGTTATAACGTTGAAAAGATTTGTAACGATACAATGGCCAGTGTTACTTTAATTTTGCGGCAACCTGATACACAAACGCGTACATGCATATATACATATATACATTCATACATACATATATACATTCATACATGCATACATACATACATATATACATACGTGCACTCGCGTATCTGTGTATGAGTATATAAACATATATATATACTCACTGTTATATTTAGATGCAAGGTTAAATAGAGTCTAGTCAAAGGCGAATCTGACCTTATGAAATCGACCCTCAGCAAGCTGAGAGACGGGAAAAAGGAAGGCAAGTTAAAAGGGGCGGGGGTAGAGGAAAACACATACACATGCGAATTAGAAATCGATAAATCGTATTCTATGATTTTTTCGGGGCCAATCGGTGTGATTTGTATAAATTGTGAGCTTCTTCTGCGTGATCGTAGGTCGATTTCCATTTTTTTCATGTTTTTGCAAGAATTCGTAATCGTAAATACCAATTTAATCCTTTTTCAATCACGTCGACTGACCTGCAATGACACTTTTGACGATTTTTATCTTACTGAAAGGGAGATTCGATGTATTATCCGTAATGGAAGTCGGTGTACCTTTTTATGAATTTTGGTATCTCCTTTTTTAGCTGTTACACGAAATCTCGCAAAACCGTGCTTTGTTTTATACTTCGAGTTCGTGATTTTTAAAGGATTAATCCGAAAATTTGATCGCGTCAAAGAATTACATTGAATTGAAGATTTCTTTCAGTGAAACCGCATACTTCGTCCTCGTTCAAAGAGCGCGCGCTCATGTCGCGCATGCGCGATAGATCGCGCGGTCTGCAATTTTGAAAAGTTTATACGCGTCAAGAAGAATAACGTACACGCATACATCGAGAGCATAAATTTTTTATCGTGTTATAATTACCAAGGCACGCACGACCACGAAACATACAAATCACGATGGATCTCTTACGATATTACGCTTTATTTTTTATTGTGTGTCCACGAATGTCTGATGTACCTTGACACTTCGTAATCCAGTCGGGGCTGTTATTCGAAGATGAAGTTCAAAAGAAAATGCTATGAGAGAACAGATTTGAGTAGATAAAATGTTAAAAGATAGGCAACATTTATATCAGAAACATTTATTATAGAAATTTGTAGATACAATTATTAGAAGAGAAATTAATAGGTTTCAGAGTGATTAGATCGCTTCGTTAAATTTTTCTATGAAAAATAGGAAAAAAAAAAGGAAGATGCATTACGGATGCAGTATGCAAATAGGTGCAATATTAAAGAAAATGCAAGCGGAATATTGTTATATTAAAGATATACTTAAAGATGTAAAAAATTAGATAGTGTAATATAAGTAACGAAAAATTTCCCTACGACTTTGTATTCTATAATAGCACAATGATTAAGGTGCTTGCTTTGTAATCGAACGACCCAAGTTCGAATCCTGTGTGAGGGATAGGAAACTTTTTTTCTATCCGATTTTTCTTCGTCGTTCTTTCTATAGATTAATTCCAATGAGCTTTTTAGAGAGAAGAGGAGGGGAGAGTATATCGACGCGATATCGATCGACTTCTATCACTTAAAATAGAATAATAACCAATAATCGTCGTAAAAATGAAAAAGAGAAAGGAGAGTCTAATAAAATTCGTCTTCGAATAACGAGTTCCTATGTTCGGGACTGTGAACGAGGAAAAGAAGGTCGTTCGTGCCAAATTCCAAGAAATACGTTGCCGTTATTTACGGGAATTTACTTAGGCTTAAGCTTGTTGTTAACTGATGATCGATTTTAAAAATATTCTCTTGATAATATCTTCGTATCTTCTCGTTACTTTTACGAAAGAGAGAAGGAACATAAATGATGTAACGACCATGAGAAGAGAAATAATGCTTGTTCACCTCGCTTCCTGCAGAAATTCAGTGTAAAAAGAAATATTTATGAGTTTTAAGGAACCGATGACAAATGGCGGTTAAATCGAAGGTGGGGGATAGGTTATGTTCGACTAGAAGGAAAACAAAGTGACCGCGTGATCGAATTAGAATTTTAAAGAGAAAGTCAACGAAGTTTACCATATCGACAAATTATCATATCAATGCTCTATATCATATTATCCATCTGTCCAGGTTGAACCCAGGAAGTATAAAAATGTAAGATAAAAGGAAAAATACACGTGTAAAAATCAAAAGGGAATCACTCGATTACCAAAGACGGAGGACCTGTATGCGACGAGAGATTGATGAAACTCGGTTAACTCCCACCTTTGATCAGTCGTAGATCGACGAAAACGAAGGAATCACATATCATGGCTGCGCGTTCCACACTATATTCGCGGGAGTGCGTCTAGAACGACACAAAGAACGTTTAATATTTAGCGAAACAAAGAAGAGACGAAAAAAAAAGTACGATATCAAATGATCGATTTATTGTTGCGACGGCTCGTTTATTATTATTATCCACACTCCGAAACCGTTAACCGGCTACGAATCTGTACTCGTGAAGAAAAAAAAAAGATAAAACTGCGAATTATACAATCTTGATTCTTGGCAACTAATTTCTTCTCGACAACCACGTTCTCTTCCCACTACCAGTCCCAGCCACTTTCGACTACCGCAACTACTATAAGTATCATTTTATCTTTTTATTTACCATTTTCCTTAATATATCTCTCTCTATTTTTATTTCTCGTATTCACAGCGCGGATACATTCTCGTTCCTTCGTTAAAATTCTCCAACTTCGACACACGTCGAAACCCTGCCTCGGACATCCGTTATGAGCAACTGATTCTGCGGAGGAACTGGAAAAATGACTCGAACGAAGGACATAGGTGAGGAAATATTTGAAAGATTGCGCAAAAGTCGGAAGGCATTTTGGCGATGGATAATGAGACGTTTCGTTACTCTCTGCGTCAAGTGTCAGCGGATCTGCGAAGTCTAGAAGGAGGCTAGAACTGACCGGGTAGGAGTGGCGAGGAGAACAAACATCGACGGGCCAATCGTGAGGAAAGGGTGGTCCGGTGGATGTTTGTCTTGTTGCTCCTCCGGAGGGATGCTGGAATCACCGCAGAGGCAGGCAGCGTGTACGCGGTGTGGAGCCAATCGCGCGGCACCACGGAAAAATCCAAATGTTGCCGAAGATTAGAGCGAGATTTCTTTCGGCCGGCTGGCTACTCAGTCGTCCATCAACAATCGTCCTGAGACTCCACTTAGTTTGCAATTTCTTCGTTTATTTTACAGTTTCACTCGTAATTCGATTCTATTCGTGCACTCGCTTTTGGGCAACATTATTCATGTTACGTCTTTGCGTATCTTCGTTTACATATTTCCTTTCTGATTCTTCCGTTCGCTGCCTGATGAATCGAGATGAATAAATCCGCGGACCATTGTTAGTGGGTGATTGGAATAGTATGTTGCGTGGGAAGAGCAAAAATAAAGTGGAGAACGAGGAGGAAGAGGGCGAGCTGAAGCAGAGGAGACCCAAGTGTGCTCGGTGTAGAAACCACGGCTTGATTTCCTGGTTGAGGGGGCACAAGAGAGAGTGTCGTTACAGGGAGTGCCTGTGTCCAAAGTGTTCTTTGATCGCTGAGAGGCAAAGGGTCATGGCAGCTCAAGTAAGATTATTTTCCGACTTCTGCTTATTTGACAAACAATAGCGTTAGATTTAAATATTATATTCCGATAAATTTTATTTCTTTTTAATTTGCTTTTCATTTTTCGTCATTTTAAAAACCTCTCAGTGTCTCCGAAGGCACTGTCACCTATCATTCTATTTGCGTTTATTTGAAACGGTAAAACCGTGAACGTTCTATAACGTCGCTTCGACTGTCATAACTTTTTAACATATTGGCAATGATTAATGAAGCATCTTCCATTTTGCTGGAAATAGGCGGAAATAAAGAAAAAAGAAAGGTCACCTTTGCCACCTTTGATATTTAATAAAACCATTCCGCCCCCGGTTATTTAGTAGGGTCATTTACTATTAAAATTCCTCGATTTCTGTATAAAAAATAAAATGGAAAAAGGTGAAAAGGTATAAAAGAGAAGTCAGAGGAGAAACTAATGACAAAGACATATTTAGTTTCTATTGCACTTGTGCCACTCGATCTCCTCTTTCTCTGGTACGAGAAAGAGAGGCGATCAAACCAGGGGAGAAGAGGAATTAAATCCATTAACGCTCGGTGTTACGTTTCATTTCTGTTTGCATAGGCATTATGACACTCGATACTTCATCCATCCTCTCGATCCGCTCGATGAAAACGTTGCCGCCGGTTTCTCAAATAAACTTGCACGAAACGCGGAAAATGTTGGCCTCTGAATCAAGCTTGTTTAACTTCTGCCAATTAGTCGGCTAATTTGTTTGATTTGTTTCACATTTACGTCCGCGTCTGTAGTAATAACGTAAATTTCTGAAACATCCAATTGCAACGACGATTGAAATTTGTCTTAAATACCCCGAGTTAATTTGCAGTTCCGAATACTTTTGAAAAATAGCACGATCTTCGAAATATCATCGTTGATTCCGGGATCTTTGGAATCGATATTCTCGGTTACTTCGTGTTCTTTCTGGGAGAAGCGTAAAATCTAAAAGAGAGACTCTCTGTCGGACTTCCTCAATAATCCTGACGATGTGAAACAATATAGTGGGTGGTCCAGCCGGGAATAACACGTGCCAAATGGTCCCATATGTATCTCTATTGACATTGGCCGTTGAGAAAACACATATGCAGTATCGGCTAAGCGGCCAGTCCATTTATAAATTGGGCGCAGAGTCATGATCCGATCTGACTTCATTTTTCATCCCCATGTCGATTTGTATACTTCCGTTTCCATTTATCGCGATTAATTTCATTTATTCGATCGTGGAAGGTGGCCCTCAAGAGACAGCAGGCCGCCGAAGACGCCATTGCCCTAAAAATGGCTAAAGTGGCAACTGGTCAGAAACTCAGTCGATTGCCACCGGGGAAAATATTCGGGATGGCAGTAACCGAGCCAAAGTCAGCTGTAGGCACCAACAAAGAGGAAGATCCCCCGCCAAAAGAGGATCTAGAAGTGGAGGATTCGAGAAATGACGACTCTTCGAACAATCAGTGTCAAGATTCCCCAGTACGTGATCATTTATTAACCATATTTAAAGATATTCGTATTATTTTAACGATTACTTCTTAAAAATTGAGGAAACTCCAAAGTACTTAAATAAAGACGTTAGCAATAGCGCGAATACTTGTAGTGCGATATTTTTAAATTTAAGTTACGATTAAGGGATGTAGTATCAACAATAGCCAAAATATTGGATACCTAATTGATCGATACCCTTTTCACAGACGAGCAACGAGAGCACGACAAAGTACAAAAGCCTAGTATTCAACGTGAACAATCCAGAGGAAACAAAAGAGAGCAGCGTGTCTCAGACCTCGGTGGAAACACTGGCTCGCCTCTTTCCCAACACAAAGCTGTCGGTACTACAACTGGTGTTGCAGAGATGCGGCCAAGACCTGTTGAAAGCAATCGAATACTTTGCCAGCGACAGTTTCGGGATTAATTCAACAGCCTACGCTTCAGCCTTCCGACCGCCGCAAAACATCAGTGAGACCAGGCCCAGCGAACAACTCGCTGGCACTATGCTAGCTCCAATCTACTCCAGTCTGTCTAGGAATTTCTACGGAGACGGCTACTGCTTGTTAAACATCGTCCCCGACCAGTTTCCGAAAAGTATAGTAGATACGACGACTTGCACCACTTTGCCTATCAAAAACAGTGGACAGCATGAACAAGAAGGAGTAGCTTTAAACGTTCAGTATAATAATTATTTCAATTCTGGCGCACAACAACAGTTGAGAGATCATGTGTACGCTCAAGTTACAGATCATCTTTCTCCAAGGCCTGGTTTTCTTCATTTACCCCCAGTACTGCCAGGGATTCCCTGTGTACAGCCTAATTGCGCCCAATGTAACTATAAATTTCCCTAAATTGCTGCAAAATATTTATTTCTTATGGTTTGGTATACCGAACACTAGAAAGATAAGGAGGACCTCTAATGAGGAATAAAGAGGATACCAAGCTTCCAAGTATCCCAAGTTCTTTATTTTATGTAAAAGTTTATTTCTTGAATTGGACAAATGTATATAATACTAATTGTATGTACAATTGGAACGAGGGACAGAATAATCCGCGCAGTAGAAATTATTTTATTTCAAGTGGATTTTACAACGTATAATCTAAGCCAGAATGGCAATTAATTAAGCGAATTTCAAAATGCCATTGGCTTATCATACGTGAAATTGCACGTGGACTTAACAAACGTTCGCATGACCTGCGATGCCGCTATCAGAACAGAGGGAATTTCCGTGATCGGCAGACCTTAATCTTCAAAGTTCAGTGCGAGCAAGTCAAGCGAAGCGTACTCCTGGCATGCATCGTTTCCCCCAATGCCACGCTCGTCTCTCTACAGATTGACCTTTGATCGTGAAGCGTGAAATAAAACTTGTTAGAGTGGTTCATAATACTTTTCAAAAGTTGTAGGAGTCGATATTTCTATGCAGTAAACTCGTTTCAATTTGTAGATATTAATGGTCTTCAACCGGATCAGATTTCGTGATAAGATGCTTCAAATGTGCACCATTCAAATATGAACTAGCTGATGCCAGAAATCATTCTTCTATAATTGTTATTCTGTATTTAAAAACTGCTTCTTGGTTCACATAATCGCCATTTCTTAGCTATTTAATTTAGGACCGATATCTTGTTTATTAGTTTTTAATTGTTCATGTTTTTTTTATTGTTTATTTTGCTGCAAAACTACTTGGGGTAAACGGAGGTTTAAGGCTTTCTCAAACTTGGCCTACAACAACGTAAATAGCTCGGCTATTTATATGTTATTTACAACACGTAGCAGTAAAGAGAAGTGTCTGTAAGGGAGATGTTTTGTTTAGGTATTTCTTCAAGAACTGGTTAGAAAGTTTCTCGCGGCGGCTATCGCGTAACTGTTAATCTAATAGGATGGCAGTAATTGAGTTAGGAAGATTCAATTGTCTGTATAAACAGTACCGATATCGTAGAGCAACTGTCGATGCCCAGAAGCGATTTACTTTGGCTCCGCTTTTTAGGGAGGCAAAACATCGAAGTTAACCCCCCCGGGGAATTCTCCAACCCGTCGTGCAGCGAATTACAAAGAACTTGACATCGTGTCGAGAACGAATAATCCGTTTGGATTTTTCTTTCATTTACACTCTGAAACAGTGGGTGGAAGCAAAAGACAAACACTGAGATACATGAGCGACATGTGCAGGTCTTTCTTTATTTGGTTCTTTAATAAACGCTTCACGGAATGTACCACATCGTGAATATAACATTTTCTTTTTTGTTCTAACTTCCTCATGTTGCTTCGATTTTTGGTACATATATATTATGAATATACCAAACATGTTATTTTTCATATTCTATGTTTTAAGAATAATGCTTCTTGTTGTTCGCTTAATAATAGGCACATCAGTTTATACTAGAGTAACCGATACCACATTAAGGACTTCACTACGTGAACATTGCATATGGATATTAATCTTACAATTCAGAATATTGTGTAAAAACGAATCGGAAGATTAATAATGTTACGCGTATGAACTATTTTCGATGTACGTCCGGACTCCTTGAAGATGCGTTTATTTTAGGGGAACGCACAGGAATTAGTCTTTGTTAATAGTGATTGCTGCCAAGCTCCCATAATTGGACTCTTCAAATGAGGACGCACGGGACAAATTTTCGCATTTCATGAATATGTGTGTGTATATATGTACACAGATGTTAATTTGCTCGATAATATGTACAATACTTCATTTTATAATCTTTTAGCGAAAATCGTGCACCCAAATTAATTACCGTCTTTAATGATATTAAATTTAAAATCGAAGATGTGGCTTATTCTTAATCATATGTCTGTAAAAATTAAGACATCAGGTAAAATAATTGAAATATTATGTACTAATTTGAAGATTGAACGTTTAAGTACGTACTTATCAAGATGTTCCCAGAATACCATTAATGCTGCCCGATCCAAGTGTCTTTTTGTCCGACTCAGTTCGATTACCGTTACTGCCCAACGTGCTACGTTCGAGTCTAGTCTCATTTCGTCGTATTTCAAATGAAATGCACAAACTATAAAAATAAAAATCAATTAAATTACATTCTGCTTGTACAAATAAACATTATATTGTTTGTGTATTAAAGAAGGTATATGTACTTTTTGAAAAAATTTCTCAATCTGCATTCGTAAGTTTCTGTGGATTATCCACTACCCTGTATGGAACAGTAAGACCACCTTCCTTTCTACGCTGCAAAAGGACCTCGTTCTCTCGTTTACAACCTTGTGTACGTTTTTCTTCGTTACTGACATATTTTAGATCCTGTAATATGTCTTTCGCATTATACATCGTAATCAGTGATGTGTTTGCACTTGGAATGATGATGATAGGAGTTCTGCTTGGTCGCTTATTTTGCGCTGCTTGTTGCGGAGTAAGTTTAGCGGCAGAAGTTGGTAGCAAACCAGAATTAGGAGTTGCAGATGGATTGCTTGGCGGTTTTCTGACTGCGGGATTAGTGCCTTCTGTTACAGATTTCAAAGTCATTCCATGATAAGTACCCATTGTGTCAATTTTGAATCCTTCTGTTTCCTCCTTTTGTCTAATAAACCTTTCTTGATCATAACGATTATAGACAGCTGGTTGTGGCAAAGGACGCATTGGTGTGGAACGTGGTGTGACCATTGGTGTGGGTACAGCAGGACCTTTTTGTCTACCTTCCTCGCGAGCTTTAATACTCTGTAAAATTGCAAATATATTTTTTGCAAATATTTTCCCACTACTCTGTAAAATGGTTGCACGTGTTCTCCATTGTCTTT